CTTTAATAATAATATTCAGAATAAAATTTGATTTAAGTTGGGAAAGGGATGATTAAAAAAAGGGTTAAAGAATGCCTTTTTTTTTCAGAATAAGTTAATAACAGTAAGAAATATGAAAAAAACTTTTATTTAAAACAAATAAAAGTTGCTTAGCCACAAAAATATTATTGGGCTACCTATATTACAATTGCGTTAGCGCTTTACTGCTTTACTACGCGTTAGCGCCAACTCTTTTTAAATAAAACAATAGAATAGTTTTATGAACAGAGTAATTATATGGGCAATTTTGTCATGAAATTTGACAGGATTAGAAGATGTATTAATTATATCATGGACGAACTTTTCATGCCTAAACGGACACCACGAATCATAATAAGGTTGGTCTGCGAATAGGTACTATTTTAGGCATGAAAAGTTCGTCCATGATATAATTAATACATCTTCTAATGCTGTCAAATTTCACCACGAGACCATTCGCAAACCAACCTTATTATGATTCGTGATGTCCGTTTAGGCATGAAAAGTAGCAGACCTGCAGACACTTGTTTCGCATTTACAAAGTTAGTATGAGTTCATTCATTCATTCATAATTATCGTTCATAAATCATAATTATATCATTCATTCATAACGATATGAGTCTCTTATCGGTGAAGCTTTTGCTATATCAGGTCAACCTCCACCCAGTCCTCTCCGGGATACCATTCTATTATCATCCATTAAAAAAAATACTGCTATTATCTTAATTACAGGTAGGTATACGAAAGCTCCTACATTTGTGATGTCTAACTCACCAGCTGTCAATTTTAAATCAATAACGGAAGTAAATAAAAAATAATTGTAAACTATAGCCTGCTAATAATATAATTTAATGTTTGCCATAAATGTATTTTCGTATATTTTGTAACGGTAGGTATTGGCATACCTAGTGACGTCATGACGCGGTATAAGCTTAGCTTATAAGAATTGTAACTCCTTACTCTAGAGCATAAAATGTAGATTTGATAAAAAAAGGTGACACAATTATAAAACCATTATGTATTTATATAACTTTTATTCATACTACATACTAATTATGCCTTCATTATTTAAACATATTTTTAGTAATCATACACACACACACAATAAGACAAACACACATTATCGCATCTATATTCGTGACAACATAAAAATACTTAATAACAAACTAAATAATTTCTGATAGGCATAAATACAATATTTATGCACTAAACTAAAAAATAATCAACATACCACAATTATTATTCTGGCACTAGTAATAATTTTACAGGTAAACGAATTCTTCAGGTTAATTACCTCGCGACTGTTTCATCTTTGTGACAACTGAATATGCCATTATGTATATATGAACGTAGACACTAGGTATTATAAAAATAACGCTATATTAATCCAATCAAAATTTATTTATGGAACAAAATGTGACCTTCTGATTCTGTCACACACACAATACACAATTGACACAATTAACAATTTGAAACATTTCAATAAATTTAACGTCTAAGAATTTTAGGATATACTTAAAACGTGATATTGTTTATATTAAACAACAAAATAATTAACAGACATTACACAATACACTGGCAGTGACACTGCTAGCATACATCAAAATTAAAAAATTATGATAATAAAAAATAGACATTCATACATATACACTTCTATAAGTAGATATGTACCTAAAATAATTTACTTTATTGTCGTACATTTGAAAAAATATGATAAAAATTAACAGCAACAGGGACTTCTACTAAATAAAATATCAAGTAATATCTAATTACAAAAGTGCAATAACATATCGGGCCTGCACAGACGAGGAAATAACCTTGACGCATAATTTCATCGCTCAAAATAATTATGTAATTATGTACTAAAAAACGGAACTATATTCGTCCAAGTACACGACTACAAGGAAAAATTGTTCTCTGAGAAAAACGACATTAATATAGTATGTTCCTCGTCCACGCAAATAAACATATATCTACTGAGTTTTATTGCTCCGTCGATAACTTTGAAAAACAGTGAATGCCAAACCACAGGATAATATATCTATTCAAACACATATCATTTCGACCTCCATAATTTTACTACAATTTTTACCATCAACCACAAATACACAGGTACAGAATTCAAGGTTTATTGTAATAGGTACTTGAATGGCGCGAACTTATAACTACTACTCGTAAATATAACAGATTGTATTATTCATCTTTGCATGAATGCACAGGATCTCATTAAGAGATTTTTTTATAAATATTATTTGCTACATTTTGTATACAAAGATACTTCTGACATACAATAGTTATTTACTTAAATAACTATTTAAGTTTAGTTTACAATGACGACATATTAAATTTTAGATTCTGTACATTAATTACATCACATACTAGACTTAATGAATGTGACGCAAGAAGTATATATATATATATATATATATATAAATTATATTATATCGTTGATATTGTAAGGTGTGAAACTAAGAACTAAGATGTGTGAAATTGAATAAAATTAATAGGGTTGCAATTACCTACGAACCTTTGTTATTATTATTATTTCTAGTCATATTGCGAGTGGCGCAACTAATACAGTACTGCACCCATAATTACAACTATCTGTGTTTGCGTTACATAATAAGCTGTCTTAGCCTGTATACATAAAAAATCTTATGAGATTATTATATAAATTTAACTTCTTGAAATCATAGTGGGTCTTAATTAGTGTTCCATTGACGGACACCTCTATTGCAGACTCAATTGAAGAATTTAAAATAGCTCTATTGAGGTTAACTAAATGACCTCGGATGTAATGACGAGTCTTTAGTAGCTCAGAACATAGGAAATATTTCTTTCCTTCATTTATGAAATGTAAATTATCTGACTATAATATTACATACACAAGTTATATAAATAACAGGTTATTAGCACCTCTTCAACGTTTAATGAATAGATATTCTCCTGTAACAGATAAATTGTAGCAAAACTAACTCATTTTTAATTTGTAGCATATTCCGAAACCTTTGTATTTAAAAAAATCTATATATATATTTATTTATAAACAAGTAGTGATGCAACTACTAGGTCTAGGAAAACGAAACTTTGAATAGGAATAATAACCTTATAAAAATAACGGGTAACAGATAATAACCCAGAAGGAATATATCAAGAGTTTCAGTATCAATGAGAATATATCTAGACATCGATTCGTATTCCGCTTGACTACCTATTCTCTTGGTAGATTATAATTGTATATTATATACCTATATTAAGATACCAATCATATTAATTATTGCCAAATAAGTACAATGATCCATATGAAAACTTTGGTTTGGTTTGGCCTCCTGACTAGTCCAAAAGCTATTATAGTAGATATCATATCAAAAACACCAAATCGGTTGTTTTGTAAGCAAACGAAGATTATTAAATTGCTATTATAAAAACAATTAAAGAATACGACAGCTTAATTCTGGTGGTAATTCTAATCGGACTTATTCTCAGTTATAAAGACCATCACATCACATAACCACCACGCAAACATCACTACTCTGTATTATTATTTTGTTAAATTCGTTTAAAACTACGAAACTACATAAATAAATCATAAAGGGACCAAATAACACGTGTTAACTATGGATTCTGAGCACTCTATGAACTGGACTCAACTGGAGATTCAATTGACCCTACAATTCTAATATCCAAAAGACGGAATAATGTATAAACTTAACCAAAACATATCTAACTAAAATTTACGTTTATTATTTCAAGATCAAAGAAACAAGCTACCAGTTATATACCAGAAAGATATATAATCACTATAGATATTCTTAGTCATGATAACATTTTTACCTAATATTATGTAACTATCATAATACTCATAATGATTTAGAAATGTCTTTTAGATCATATTGGTTATTTGTAGATTATATAAAATTAAATATATTTCCGGAAAAGAACCTATTTCAAATGGCACCAATATGCAATCTTATCACAAAAATAAAAACTTAAATGAAATATTATCACAAAATTTAAAATAAAGAACATTTTTTGCGTTTTTATGCAATGGCGTTTATGCTGACGAGTGAACAAGAACATAAATTCATAGTGGGAGCGACACTTTTTAATACACTAATATTAGTGTATTAAAAGCAGGTATACATGTATGTCATTAAAACCTTGTTCATTTTATAATTTTCTCTCATATCTTATATTGCTATAAATTACTTGTTTTGAGGTCTTGGAATGTCTTTTACATCTCCTACTACTCCCAGTTAATCATAGATTTCATTATTGTCAGGAGACTATTATTTAAAAAGCAATAAACTGTCCAATATTTCAGAGCTTAATTTTTTTATCGCCTACTAAAATTGAACTTCGATTATTAAATATGTTGAATTGAAGAAAATAATTGTGCACAAGGTAACACATACACCATCACAATTATATAGTTGTGGATAGACAAAAATTGTTTATATATATATTACACTATTCAGACAAAATATTCATGAATAAATTAAACATAATTAAGTTCTACTCAGCATATTAAGTTTTATTCAATATTTAAGTTATTTCGTTTCTACTGCTAATTTTATCATGGTCTTCGTAAACGTAATATAGTTGCATTTTCTAATCATCATTCATTTTAAGTACTTTATTTAGAAAACACAAACACGAAATAAAACACGAACTCTATTTTACAATAATTAAGATTCGAATATTATTCAGATGAGGTATTACATTATTTTAATATTACTTTAACTTTATAACACAAGAGAAGCAGTTATTAAAAACAGCAATATGCTATAAAAAAATTAGAGTAACAAAAATAAAAATAATTTATTTAGAAGTGAGTTATTGACATATCATAATCTGTCGAAACAAAACGTTAAGAAAATAATTATATTAACATCGCATTAAAGTGAGATTTTTTTATTTAAATACTGTTTTAATTATGTATACCACTAAATTTTGATTTTCTTAACACTTAATTTAGACCTTTGGTAACAAAAGCTAGTAGTTAATTGTATAAATTTCAAAATTGTCTTATATGTATGTTCTTAAAAAGAATACTTGCTCCACTTTACAATTACGCATTATTTCAGTGCAGGAATATTCCATTAAGTATTTGTGCACTTATCAAGTAACAATGATAATAAAGCTTTATACTACTATAAATAGTGAATCATACAGTGACTGGAATCTTAATCTCTTTGTTGACTATGTAAAATTTGTGTTTCTTTCCGAGAACCCCCCATACTACAGCTATATTTTCTATAACAACATTTAGTGGAATAGTAGCCAACGCCCCGCAAATGAACAAGAAAAACTTCAACGGACCAAATCTATGTATAGGAAATGATTTGATAACACCAAAAATGTACATGTAAATATTTACAGCACCTATAAAACCACACAATAAATCCAAATAGTGTGGACAAGGAATAGGACAAAGAGCATTCAATAGGACATTACTTGTAGATAGTGGCAGTGTTACCCAGGAATAACAAGATATTGCTAAAAATATTTTATGTACAATAGGTATTTCCTTTGAATGAACTACTAGAAGTATACCTTGGATCCACCTTTTCCTTTGCTGAATGAAATCCCACATTGTGAATGGAGACTTCTCCCACATCTCCCCTTCAACAAAATTAAAAGTAAACCTTTGCATGTAGGCCTTCATTGCAAAGTAGCAGTCTTCAGCCACTGATCCATCCAACCCATTATCAAATGACACTTTTTTCTCAGCATTTACCTACAAAAATATAATAAAGAAAAATTAGCTTTGGTTATTTTCAATACAATATAATGAGGTTAAAATATGAGTTTAATATATAATATACTAGCTACCCTCCCCGGCTTCGCATGGGTGTACATGTATTATTAAATATATAAACCTTCCTCTAGAATCACTCTATCTATTAAAAAACCGCTTCAAAATCAGTTGCACAGTTTTAAAGATTTAAGCATACTTGCTGTAATGATTATGCTCTTATCCTTAAGCCTAGGAATGAGGTAGTTCTTAAATTATTTTATTACTACTATGCCTAACTATGTTCATAAGATATCTAAAAAGTAATGTGCTATTTGAGGCCCATATCCTTGGCAAAGCAATAAAGAAAAAAAGGAGTGTTAAACTATGACATTATATATATTTTAATATTGTTATATCTAATATATTAACCTACTCCAATTAAAACTGCCATATATTTGTATTTTACATAGTTTGAAACTATTATAGTTGTTATGAAATTTGTGGTCAAATCAAAGCTATTATAATAAAAAAAAGTACCAAACACAAAGTACAACAAACTGATGGCTCACAAAATTAAAAATAGAATAAAATGAAAATTATTCTTACCTGAGTCACAACATAAGACCCTTTCCAACTGAATAGTGGTTTATGGAATATATAAAACTGAAATCGGAGTTTGCCCATATCATCTGCAACACGAAAGCTATCAGCAAGTGTTGTAAGCCAGTTCACAATATTTTCATTGGCATATGTAATAAGACCTTGACCAAATTGATGCTGGCCATCCATCACAAAATTCAATATACCACATACAGAGTTCTCAGTCAATAATGTTTCCTCATCTAAATGCACAATCCAGTCAGTACCAGCTAATATATTTATATCATCTTCTAAACAGTACTGCAGGGCGCGTGATTTAAATAAAGCACCTGTCTTAGTCTTGTATTCCGATGGCACCACCACCTCTCTCACTCTTCTGTGTTTGGGTAGATTTATTGCTTTATCAGTGACAACCTCAATCATAAAGTTTTCCATTCCCACTCCAAGGCACAGGTTCATATTTCTTGTTACATTGTCTCTTACAAGTTTGGGAAAGTCCCCTCTTGTTACCACTCTGATACAAATAAACGGTGCTAGTAATGGAGATCCTTTCAATTTAACTTTTCCCGGGAAAGCATTAAAGATTATTAATCCAAAGAAGTTACATAGAACTTGAGGTATTGTCAATAATGTTAACAGCCTCAAAATATATAATATTATAGTGCCATGTATACCATAAGCCTCCCAGGGGTCAATTATTTCTTTTTCCTTATCATCCAAGTTCACAGCTCCAGCGAATACAAGAAAAAGGAATATAAAAGACAAAAAAGCAGCACAGTGCAACAAATGCTTTACTCTTCCTCTTAACATCCTGAAATAAATTAAAGAGATTTTATACATAATACATGTATAAATAACCTAAACTATCACTAGCAAATCATAACAATTTAATTACATATATGCCATATCTTGCTACCAAGATATTATTAAAATAGTCTCTATTAAAAACTGCTACCTTTTCCAGGTAAATTGGTTGAATGGGATAATAGTCCCTATTATTGTGGTTGAATTTTACCTAAGTAAAATTTTTGAGTTTTTAAGCTGCTAGGAGGCAACAAAATTATTGATAATTTAATATTTTTTATACAGATATATGACAAAGATGATACATAAAAATAAATATATTATAAATAGACTAAGTATATAGAATATAAAAATAATAAATAGATATAAATTATTAGTTTATAAAACTTATCATTTTTTTAACATATATTATTTATATATTACCTATTTTATTGTACAGAACAAAGATAAATGTTCTTGTTTCTTTTATATTCCTAACTTCAGAACATCAACTTTTAGGCATGAGTTTCTACACATAATAAGTTTCAATCTTGAATTACCACCTACTTCAGTTTTATTTTATAGTAGTTAACCTCTTACAAAAAGCTGGTGATAATAACAAGACTTTTACTCCAATATCACATGGAAATGTTCTACGCTATTTAACTGTACAAATACATTAAATATTTTTTGTGGAATATGAGAATATGAATGATATTGAATGATAATAAAAAAATATTGATTACCGACTGCAGAATTATATATTAAGGTATTTAATACCTTTTTCTTACTATTCTAATACTGTTTAGTACAGCTGACCATTACAGATTCACCAGACAAAAAGGGGGTTGAATGCAGAAGGCATTCCAAACCTATGCAAAGACCCATAGATTGGCTGAAGGCCAACACCTATCTGTCAAATACAGGATAGTTTTGGAGGATGTAGGACCTAATATCCTTACTAATTAATAAACTTATTAATTCTATATGAAAAACAATCTGTAACCGATAAAAAAGGTATCTCAAAATATATAATTACTAGTTTAAAAACTTACATTTGTTCGAACAAGATCAAATTTTCTTGTGTCTGATATTTAACAAAAACTAGTCCTTGAGTTTAACTTAAAGTAATAAATATATAAAAGCTTTACCTTCAACTCGTATAATAATATAGTAAAAATATCAATCACAGCCGACCAACCAGGTTCAAAATCTAATAAAAACTTAAAACAAAACCATAGTCGCAAAATAACTTAATTACGTTTATGTATTAAATATACATAAAGTCTATATATAGTATAAAGAATAGATAAATTATTAAAAATATTATTTTATATTAACAATATCAAACACACAACACACGCCCAAAAAACAAATCCAGTTTTGAGAATTTGAATATTCGATTGACAGAATTTGACATTTTTTTGACGGGACTGACAGATTATTTTGTAGGTTTTCTTTCTACTTTCGGAAAGGCAAAGGGATGTTCATACATCCATAAGAGAAACTCATATTTTAGGACTTTTACTTCGTTCACAGGAATTTACTCCTTGATGACTCCTTGTAAATTTAATTACTGACCATGTATATGTTTTAAATTCTACGTGAATTCAATAAAGTGTTTTATTTAATTAGCTTATTGTTCGTGTTTGTCACATGGAGCAGTTTGACAACTTCGACTTGACAGTTTTGACTTGTAATATAGTCGCATTTGACGCTAGTAAGCACTATTTGGCAGTTTAGTACAGTCTTATGGATTAATTATATTTTGTGTATAAGTATTGTTTAATATTTTATTTTCAAGCCTTAAAGGCAATCATAATATCTGAAGTAATGGTGCAATTAATATGTGGAAGAACCCAGTGAAACCATAATAAAATGTTGAAACAAATATTTAAAATTACTACATCGAAGAGAAAGTGTCTCAAATAAGTAAATAACGGGTCGATAGAAATAATGTCTGTCCCTGATTTATCTGTCGGATGTCGTTTTGCTGATTATTTTGCAATATGTGGACTAGATTTCGATTCTGGATTGGAACCCGATCGTCTCTGCGGTAAGTATCGTTCAAGGGGTAATTACCTACTGTTTAAATTTATCCAATCAATAAATTGTATGTTCCATTTATAGGTGACAATTTACACGTATCTCCTCTCGATCGGTCCTACAAAGGAAAGATTCTAGCTCATTACCCAGACAATATTCAGAGTAACCCATTTGATGAACATGCAGTGTGTATGGTAAGATTTTTATCTATTGATCATTAATATTTTTTTATACATAAATATAAAATAAATGGTATGTGTTGTAATAAATAATGTTGCATAAAATTGAGGGTTTATATTTTCTAAAAGAAAAATTGAGAAATTTTGTATATATAATTTAATTTGCCATCTCAACATTATATCAAGAACAAATGTCAAGTTAGCATTGTTATACATTTTTTCAGCTTTGTCTACCAGCTGGATTACAATTCAGAACTCAAAAACACTCACTGGAACCAAAATTTCACAGTTTTGTGGTAACAAGGGAGAATGCATCTAGATATTATGGCTGTAGCCTTATTTTTTATGAAGAAGTTAGAAATGGAAAGATTTGTACCGCAATGCATACATTGCAGGTATGTTTTGTTACAGTCTATCATTTTTAAATTTAAGATGATGACAACGTATTTTTATCTTATTAACCAATATAGTTTACATTAGCCAATCTGCTTGCTCTATTCTTATTTTGACACCCATATCAAATAGTTAAAATGAAGCTGATTTTGAGTCCAGATCCTTGAAATTAAAGAAAAATATGACAGTGCTAAAAAGTGAGATAATACTATTTATTATTTTTTAAATTTTATCTGTGAGGCAATGGAATGTCATAAATAGTATAAATGCTAAGTTTCAGGAGAATTTTATTTATCAGGCAAAGTATTTATATTAATATTATCATTAAACATTTATTTAAAGTAACTTACTTTCACATTTTAAATATTAATGTGATTATCTTTAATGAAATGTTAAAATATGACATTAATGTTTGTTTGAAATACATTTTCATAGTCTTTTTGATTACCATGATAGTTCAGCAGTTTAGCACTGCTTTACTTCCCATACTCATTAATTTGATACCTCACATAGTGCAAACATTTGTATATATGATTATAAAGGTTTGTATCAGTCTTGAGTGTTTTCTATGTATTTACAAAAAATGTATCTAAATATTTATGTCAGATTTCTAGTACCCATAACACATGCTCTGTTTAGCTTGAGACTAATTGGCACTGTGTGAATGGTCCAAGGTTATTGTTATTATTGTTTTTTGATATCAATAATTTTGTGCACTAATTGTAATTGTGTTTGTGTAATTTACAGATAATAAAATAAATAAAACATATTTATGTAATTGTTATCATGTACTAAATGTACCAGTCACACTTTTCTTTGCTTTCTTTCATATTTAATAATACCATAATATTCTACTATTCTGCAGGCAATGTACATTACTGAACTGTCTAGTGGACAGACACCTCCTGGGCACAGAAAAGGTTCTGGTAAAGAAAGCTCTAGGTCTTTACCTAGATCATTCAAACTTACACCACATAGTGGTGCTGCACTCACTTATTATGACATAGCCAAAGACAAACTCTATGTAGCCAAAAGTATAGCTCTTATATGCCAATATCCCTATGTCAGAGTTGCACAAATGTTCCTAGAGAATCTATTTAGGTAAGTATGTAACAATTTAAATCTTGTGTATGAGTTTTCTTAAATTAGATTTCTGGTATAATTATCCTACTGCTCTGAAATACTTATCACAGGTATTTTCCAGGTCACTACCAAGACAGCCAGGACCAGGACTAAGTCCTGAGTCATATGTATATAATCTGCTTTATGAAGTCCCAGTACCACTGCCTGGGCAAGCACTACGCCTTTATGTGCCGCCTTCTGAGCCTCACCTTGACCCTGTTCCTGTTGTAAGTATTCATTTTTCATCATCAACACAGTACCGAATATTGCAATGTAGTGCCTGTAGCAAATTCTTTCAAAAGACCCATGGTTTAGATTAATTTCTTAAAAATATAGCTCTTAGAAATGATTAATACTTAATTGCCTTAATATTTAATATTTACGCAATTAAATGAATAATTGTGTTAAAGATTCATTTTTAACTTATATACAAAATAAAAAAATATATTTGGAACTATGTGTTATTTATTTTCTGTATTATGTTCAGATAATTTTGTATGTGTTGGAGCACTTTTATGCAATAGGTCCGCAACATACAGCAAATACTATATATTTGCTGCAAGAACAGCTTAGAAAATTAATCCGGCACTTCATTATCATCATACTGTTTAACTGATCTTTGTTTAGCACATTGGAAAACAAGTATAAAGATTTAGTATAGTATCTGCCATACACTTTAAATTGGAAAACAGTTTACAAAGTAAATGAATAATAATAACAAATATAAGTAGTAAGTATTTATGTACTTTTGCATTCAGATATGGACAACTAAGGTATAAACGATGTTGCGTTTCAGGGGGGAATATGACATGCAAATCGTATTTTTGCATCTAACTTAAAGGTATACTTAACATGCCAAGCAAAATGTTTCCAACCACTAACGATATAGATAATTCATATATACTTATTATTTATAAATATTATTATCATCAGATATCGATAGTTTTTAAACAGCAATTTTTTTTATATTTGCCAGATTATAAGAATGCCAAACCCACCCGAAGAGTTACCACTACTTGACTATCCACTACGTATAATGTTTTCTTTGCTTGGTGTTGAGTGCGTCGTTCAACTTTTTACATGTGTGCTACTAGAACATCAAGTGTTACTCAGATCTAGTGGTAAGTAATTATTATATTTTATAAGAATGAGTTGCTAATTTAATAAAAAAAAAGTAAGTAGAGGTTGGAGTATGTGAAGTGTTGAAAACATTTTTTAACTACATATCGCCATGTAAATAGTTGTCCTGATACATGAAATGTTTCACATCAAAGGCTCCATGATATCACATTTATAGTAAAATAACCTTATTTTCTGTTAGGACTAATGTTTAGCCGAGTTCCTAGTAAGTATAGTTAAAAGAAAATATAATTTTGGATTAATTTGAAAAGAAAATTTATTTTTAGAATAAACTAAGGAAATATAGACAAAAAATAAATAAATGTGTCGTATATCTTTAACCCACAGTACTTACTTGCGATTACAAAAACTCTGTATAAGTGTATCGAGCGTAAATAAATATATAGGTATACAGCACTCAATGTGTGAGGTGAAACATTTTGCTGTAGTTTTTGAGTAAATTAAAATAATTGAATAGTAATTGTATTTTTACTACGTATAGTACTTATCTATTTTATTCAACATATAAACACTTTCTACAGGCCGCAAAATAAAGGCAACTGATATATGATAATGTGAGAAATGTAAAATGGACGGTAATTGTATGTTTGCAGATTATAATAAACTGATGCTAGTCGCAGAATGCATAGTATCTTTACTAGTACCTTTTACGTGGGCTCACGTATATGTACCCATACTACCAGCACCGCTGTATCATTTCCTGGACGCGCCAGTCCCTTTCGTCATGGGTGAGTATATTTACCAGAATTAAATGAAAACAAGCAGTTAAAAGTTCCATACCAACTATCCATACTAATATTATAAATGGGGGAAAGGGGATTGTTGTATTGACACATTGTAATGTGGACTGATGACCTCATTGCTATCAATGTATATGTCAGGTCGACCTCCACGCGGTCATTCTTGGAATCCAACGTGATAAATTCCTGGTTAATTTGTCTCGATGAGCTAACTGACCTGACCTCATACTCATTTTATCTCATACTCCACAGGTGCCCGCCAGCGTAAACCATTAGTGCAGGCGAATGCACCATTTCATTATCGTAAATAAAAAAATATAAGTTATATATTATATTATAAATATAAATATTATATTATATGTATGTTAGTCTATAAGGTATTTATAATATGGGCCTAGTTGCCTGAAATAAATGAATAAATAAATAAATAAGTATATGTAAATGCGATAGTCTATCTATATATCTGAGGGTTACCTTTTCAGGGCTCAACAGCATAGCGGATATAGATATAGGCTATGTTTTATCTCATAAAAAAGCAGAAAAATTTTGCATGAAATTTTTGTACGGGTTTAAGTCCCAGATTATGCAAACATTTTTCATAAGTATATGTTTGTTGGTAGGGTTTTTTTCGATGTATGTATATTATGTTCTGTATTTATGAGTATGACTAGTATATAACTTGTCAGCGATTATTTTTATGGCATTTTAATTTCATAACAATGAGTAATTTAATTACTTTAAGTTACAGATTGAATACTTGATGTAACAAAATATAAACTACGAAATACTAGTATACAGTAAAAGCTCCTTGTTCGCACTTCCTTAATTTGCGTTTTCACTATTCGTGGATTAAAGAAATGCGTCCAAATTCCCATATTCGCGGCTAAAAATTCTTTATTCGCGGATCTAATAAGCATACATAATAATAATACCAATAGGTATCCAACCCAATATGCTTTGTAAATTTCCTTACCTTCAAATGGACTAATAAAAAAAGTAAAATAGAATATAATATGTATATATATACTACAACTTTGCATGTTGTTAGATGATATCGCCGAGGACTTTGACATCAACTGTCTTCGCCGCGATCAGTGTTTTTGAGAATGTAAACAAACGTATCGAAGGAAATCGTATCTGTATTTCAGTATGAATTGTAGGAGCTTTAAAAAACTGCCAAGCAAGAGACAATTACAAAATTATTCAAACCATTGCCTAAGCCTAAGATAATGAATCAAAATGTTCAAAAACTTAAATTAAATTGATTTTTTATACATTTGTTTTTACTTTGTCTAGGAACGTCTCCCTTATAATGCCATATAAATTACCATTCCCTATTCACGGCATGTTTATGGAACATATATCCCGTGAATAAAAAGTTTTTACTGTATATAATAATGTGCCACGAATGATAAATAACTAAATACATTAATAATTTTGTTTCATATTCTTAGGGCTACATGCGGACAGTGCCGCCGTGAGTGTTGGACATAATGGCCCGCGGAGTATTGCTCTCGGTTCAGAAGCAGCTTTATGTTTAGTTGATATTGATAAACCTGACATACAACTACCTGAGGAACTTCCAATTTTCCCACACCGAACTCCTTTTATTGAGGAATTAAATCATATTTTAGATAAACATCAGGTATTTAAAAATATGTTACTTGATTAATTTCTATTACATGTAGTAAAAGAGTGACCCTAAGTTGTATGTGATTGTTATTTTTAAAGTTTCGTGTCTAATATACATTATTTATGTTGTTAACCAGTTCTTAACACGAACAATTTTGGTAAATGGTAAATAAAGATAATATAAGATTAAACACCTTTATTTACAATTAAATAAATCATATCGTGTTCATTTTTTAATCATTTTAATACAATATTTTTTATAGATTCAACGGCCAGAGACAGAACCAACCAAACTTGGTGTACCATTAAACGGAACTTCTTACAAACACATGAATGATAGCATGAGTAGCAGTTGTACTTTACCTTCAGGTAAGACATATATACTTTATTGCACTTGTAAAGTACACTAAGTAAAGATGGTTATACAAAATACTTATTCCAAATCTATTTGATTTCTAGAGATATTTTGCAAGTTACACATTTAAAATTTGCTAAAGACGACGACTTTTACCAGAAATTTCATCTGTAAATAACAGCAACTAACTAATAAATTACAAATCATTTCAAAGAATGGCTTAGGTACATCTTTAACATTTTTCAAACAACTTTTATTCCTTCTAAGTTCAATGGGCACTATGTATATTCAATATATATATAGGTACTATTGTACATTCAATTGGCAAATAAATACTTTAATATTTATTATTATTACTTATAGTTATATATTAGTATATTATATTATAGGAGGAAAATGTAGACAATTTCAAAAGAGTTAGTGATTACACTAATAAAAACTTACATAACAATGACAAACTGATTGTACTTAAATATAGAATTTATTGAAATGTCGTTTAACTACAGATACTAATTCGTTTATGGTAATTGCGTAAGGTTTTACAATAAACTACCAGAGTTTGTTTTAAATCCGCATGAAAAAAGATTTAAATGTCGTATATTCTAATGTCGTATTTCTATAAAATACTTCCTTTATAAAAAAAGCATATTATAAAATTGAAGAGTTCGTTAACGATAATAATTGTTTTGTAGAAAAACTTAAAATTCATAGCGCTGACAATATTATCTGATTGCTGACTAAGAATTAGTACGTAGCGATTTTTATGTTGATTATCTCATACCACATACTTGTTATTGTGTAATTATTTATTTATATAAAATAAAACATCTATTCAAAAGAGAAACACACAAGTGTCTTGCTCATTCTTCTTGTGATGAATCTGCGTTTCGAGTGAGTGATAGAATAAAAAATATGACTATTAAAAGTGCTTGTATTGAATTTATTTTAATAAAGATTATTACCTAGCGTTACATTATAAAGTTGACAATCAAAAACATTTAAGAAAATAAACTTCCTGTGAGTTTCTTGCTTCTTCTTCTCCATTCTTCTCTTTGATTTATTTTCCTTCTAAAGCAATGTGTGGTAGTTTGTTTTGACTTGCAATAATTAACTTTTATTATAATATTTAACATTGAATATAATATTTAACTATACTGTAAATACGCCATTGGTGTATTTACATATTATGCTCTCTACTTTGGCAGGTGCTTTGCGCCGCAAGCACTCATTCCACGACGTACTAGAGTGGGACGAGAATCGGCCGTTAAATGCGTCTCCGCCTGCCTCGCCCACCCGACGAGCGCCGCTTCGTCTGGAGTCACTTCAACGTATGGTGGACATCGTTAAACGCACAGGTAAGTACATACTGCTTTCTGTGAGCGGATAGGCACATATGGCGATTGACTTAATTTTTTATTTACTGCAATAAAGATTACGTCCACAAAACGTCGTCACACTAGTGCTGACGTGGCAAGTTGTAGCAAGAGTCATCAAGTTTCGTCGTTTCAAAATATCTGTCCAGCGGCTGACTTACTTATTTATATAAAATGAAATTTATTGTAATGTTTACCTACACAAGATACTGACTTCACTAATTAATTTCCATAGGTGTTAACATAGATGATTTGGAAGCTGATACAGTAATGCCGACTTTAAAGAAGAAAATACTTAATGATGAAGAACAGTACAATGAAGATATTCGCTTTAACGTAGCTGTTAGGGAGACTTTCCTTAACAGATTTGTGCATATGTTCCTTATGTATGAGAACTTTGTCATCATGCCCAATCAGGTAATCCGAAATATATATAATCTTTATATTAAGTTATTAAATTAGCTTTACTCACTCTTGTATCTTCTTAATGGGTTTAATATATTAGACACAGTAGATTACATGTATATGATGCTCCATCACTCAAGGAATACTATTTCTGGTTATAGCCATACCTATAACATTATCCATTTTTGTTACCAATAAATGTTTGTATGTCATGACTAAATCATAACCATTTCTTGTAATGTTAAGGTAAATTTATAAAATGTATGCATTGAAAGTGGATTCTGTATATATTTTTTCTTTGCAGGATCGGGATTCTTGGCTTTCAGCTCGCGAATCAATGATAAATTTTGATAAGGCTTCTTTCTTATCCGATCAACCTCAGAGACATAGGTCTTTTCTCTCACGATTTCTCGAAACTCAAATGTTCGCTACACTTATAGACAACAAAATCATGGGTAATTGGGGAGAGTATGATGCAAATCTACAAGTCTTCGAACATCGAATTAAGTCTGTCAGGTTCGTGTTTTTTTTTAATATTTCAAGGAACGATTTCATAATGGGGTGTTTTTGTGCATATATTTTTTTATTTTAAGGTCAGCTTATGTCAATTTTATTCACATCGTACGCATTCGCTTCATTACTAATAAGTCCCTACACCAAATGGATAACATACTTTAAATATAATTTAAAGTTTTAACACACTCAATATAACGAGCACTTAATGGGACTCATACTGCATTTTGCACATAAATATATTCCATTGACAAATATCACGAGCTTTATTACGGGCATCTCAGCATCGTCGTCGGACTACGAAAGCGCCCTGAGCTCTCGCTCGGGGAGTAAGGAGAGGTTTGTTGCAGACGGCGACTGGGGGAGGGTGGACTGGCGACGCGCGGCTACAGCGTGTGGGCCGGGAACGGCGCAGGTGCGGGCGGGGTGGCGGGGGGTGCGGGGGCCGAGCTGGAGGTGGGAGCGCCGGGGGAGAGACTGCCGCACCGCGCGGCCTACTACCGCGCGTTCCCGGCGCGGCTGGACGCGACAGCACTCGCGCCGCCGCCCGTCTCCGACCGCAGGTGCGTCGGGCCGCCGCCCCGCAACACCGCCGCTGAAACACTCCCGTGCTCTGATTATGCAGCTGCTTTTTCGTATCATATATAGGTGCGTGGCCGCAGTGGTGGGCTATGGCGGGTGCGGAAATATTATATGACTATTATTGTAACTTCCATTACGTAAGTGGCTAAGGCTTTAGTCTGCGACTGACATTTGGTGCTATAGCATAAATATAAACACGCCAATAGTGTCCTAAGTGGGGTGTGATACTATAAATCAATGAACTAATGGGTGACGGACGTATTTATCAAAGTTGTTCCGAGTCGTCATTCGCTAGACAGGCGTTTATTAACTTCATAAAAGGAAGACTTTTTCAAATTGCCTGGTTTTTTTAACTATTTTTAAAAATGACCAGTTGCGGAACAATAAAAAATCATTTTTCGACTAATTTAAATTCTTTTTGTTATTGTAAATGGAATACGCCATGTTAGTTCTCATTCATAATTTAAGAATCACACTCTTTTCGATAGAGCTCTTGCCACTACGACATTCTCTTTAAATATTAATACAATACGTCATAAATATTTTTTTATCCAGTTATAAATAACTGCAGCGATTCTCCTAATGACCACAACATGGCGACACACTGTGGATAAGGTTAACGCTCCCGTCTTACTGTCACAAACCACGTTTGCTCACAGTTCATACCGGCCACGCACTAGAATGGGTCTTACCAATGATTCAGATTAGGAGTTGTCTATAAGAGCGCTTTCTTACAACATGTATATATTTTTATTGCACAACGAGAATACTAGATGATGAGATTATCTCGGTGTGCAATAAAAAGTTATATGAATTGGTTTATTTCAAAATATTCGAAGTAAGTATTGTTAATATAGAAAATATTACGAGTTTACTTCCAAATTTGCTCTCATTATAATCATATAATAAATAATATATGCAGTACACCATATAATGATGTCAAAGTCCTCTCACGTCCGATCAGCCGTAGTATGTTCTTTGATACTTTGCAATTATGTGTCTCAATATTTGATGTTAAAGTAATTTGTAATGCGAGTCACTGAAAGAATAATAAAGAACTATATACATAACTTTTGAAAACTAACTCATTATATAAATATTTGCTGAATAATCGTTGGTCATTCCCATATAGAATAAAATATATAAATAAGTCAGTTGCATCGTTAGAGTTAGGTATATTTTTAGCGTTCACGGGCGAGAAAACAGCATATTTATTGTTATTGTTTCATAAAATGTTAACTGCGTATATTCTTATTACGATTGAATTAATCTATTTTTATTTAGATTACATTTCAATTATTTTTATTATGTATTAAAGTTGTCTATGAAGTGTAAATTATACTATTTTATTATGAAGAAAAATGTTTTCTCAGTCGTAGTACGTACGCCATTGTGTTGGTATCGGTGTCCACGCCCACATTGTCAAAATACACTGAGCGTCGAGATAACATGTTGTACCTGTAATTTTTACATAAATAATCATTTTAATTAGATATACGTGCATAGAAATAGCTTTTACTGTCGTCTTGTAAATACTAACGCTAACGTAAATATAGACAAAGGAAGTAATAGAAGTATTTCAACTTACAAAAAACATCTATTTAGTCTAAACTGAAAACGAAACATGGAACCTGATTTGAAACAATAACATTTTTGACTGAAATTTATTAAATAATAAAAAAAATCGACTATAGGTCCTGGCTATACCTTTATATAATAAATTCTACTAATAACATTATATAACAATAACAACATTTAAACGACCATAATCAAACATGGAATATAGTCCAAAATTCTTTTTGACATTATTTGGTGATTTAAAAACGTATTTACTAGCCTGACTATAAATTGTTAACTCGGATTGCTCAGTTTTTTCATATACTTCATGAATAAATATTTTTTTTTATAAATTGCCCGCTTTTTGTGACAGCATGCGATTGTATCAGCCTGAACTGTTGTTAGTGATTGTTTATATTATGTAAAATGGTACTACAATGTAGTGCTTAATTTTAAGTTTTTTTTTTGTAGAAACTGCGATTTCTACCTTATTTACAACGTTGTCTTGAGTATTTAATTTTAACTAGCATATTGTATAACAAAAATTTTAGATATCTTTTAAAATAAACATTAAATTTGACGACTCAAGAAATTTATAAAAAATGTATTGCAATTGTACCAAAAATGTTTGGTAGCTTCTTTAGAATCTCATATACAATCATTTTATTATTGTATTATTATTACATTAACTTAATTGCAATAATGTTTGTTACTTTAGAAAATATTTCTATATTTTTATATATAGATTTTCTGTCTAGTAAATGTTTATATCGATTTTATATTTATAATAGCTAATCGAATTTATTTAATGAACTTACCACTAATCTCATTTATATTGTAATACTCAATATGAAATATTGCTAGAATATTTTGTATAATCTTAATTTGTGTGAAAGCTCTAATCTGTTATCAAATTAAATCTCAAAGGAGTAAAACATGAATTCTTGTTAGAATATATGTGTTTATATATATAAATATCAACATTAGTAACAAATAAAAAATTGAATTTAAACTTCTATATTTCCAAGGGGCACTAAAAATTGTTATTTCGGTTCTTTATTATGTAAAAAAATTATCCTAAAGGAATTTTTTGTGGTCATATCTACAATAAACGCGTATATTTTTTATTTAGTTTAGTGTGTTTATGAACTAATACATAATAATATCGAAAACCCTTGCAGACCTGATTGATATGGGCCTGAGTTTAAAGTTAGTTAACATTTAGGTCATTAAGAAATCGTACCTAGCCTATGTGACTACTGTATCACCAAGGAGGTGATACATTAGTCACATGTATGACTGCGAAATGGCATCAAAATAAAGAATCTAAATGTAATTATCTAAAACAAAAAAGAACTCAGGTCTAAAAGAGTTAAAGAATCCAGTGCTCACTTTATTGCCACTTTAATAATATTCTTCCAATGTTTAGTACTGTAGTTTAACGTTGCCTTGTAGTAATGTGTGATTAATTGAAAATCCCTTAATGTATAATCTGGAATAGTTTAACCGATTATCATCATTATAGCAAAAATAAATATTTAAATTTGAGTTACTATCAATGTAAAACAACAATAGATATCGACATCCGTCGTTAATACTTCCTTAAGGCACTTTTCCTATTACGTTGGTTATGTATAAAAATTCGTTTTTTTTTGTTTGCATTATTGCTGGATGCGTTTAACATGCATGATATGAGTAAAGAAATATGTTCCATGTATTTAACTTTATTGGTTAGATGTCATCCATAAACACATTTATTAAACAAGAATTTCATTATTTTGACCTTTCGTCCTTGTTATAGTTAATCACATTTGTGAGTCACACCTCTAGTGCGATATCATATTTTTTACAATTTTGAAGCAGGTGATGGTTAAATTCGAAATCAGAATTATTTTTATTTTAAAAATAATTAAATTTAGCCTTATATGTACATGTGTCGTCACGAAATTTAAAAACCTTACTCAAAATCACACTCCACTTAATCCTACGGCCTTTGCGCTCCTTAAATATGTAAAAAATTTATGGATGACTCCTAAGTAATATAATATTTATACCAGATTTAAACCGTTATGAGTACAAAGTACCGTTTTTATATGAAATTATCAAAGCTTTAAACAGTATTGGAAACTCACTAATACCTTTCCCAATTAAGAATCTTTATGTATTCCTACAATTGTTTAATATTTGATATTTTATTAGTATCCCTTTATAATTACTATTGTAAAATTGTTTTATAAATATATGGATGACTCCTATGGTTAGTATTATTGGGTGTATAATAATTGTAGTTGATATTCCATTTTTGTGATAATTTGTGCATGCTTTGTTAACATTGCATGTAATTAATTTATATAATGCAGTATTTGTTATTATATGGTTTTTATATTTGGTCTATGAGATCGTATTTTAATATCGTTAGATTTTTTAATGTAATAATTTCATTATAAGTAGGAGAACAACATCATTAAGTTGAAAGTAATATGTTTAATTGTTATTATCTCGAGATTTTAGTAATCATATAAATATATAAAAAATAATACTTGTAATATCTAATAAAGACTTTGAAATGTACATTATTGTATTTTGTATATTGGTTCACCTATCCTTATATTTAGCTATGTTTGCACTTTGTAATAGATGCATATTTAGTATTGTAGTAATGTTACTGCAAATGTCTTTTAGCTTTGTATGCTTGCTTTTTGATGTATGTTAGTGATTTTCTCACAAAATTTATGTGTAGTAAATAATTTAACATTTCAGAACTAATAGCTTGAAGCGTATAAAGAATGCAAAATGGCAAGTGAAGGATTGTCCACCCGAATTACTATTAGGAGATATTAGTAGGAGATTGTCCACGGAAGCCACACCAAATGTCATTGTTCAGAATCATAAGACATTTATAGAAAAACTGCTCAAGGTCTGTCATTTATTTTTATTATTAATAATAGAAGGTAAATTGCGCATAGTCGTCAGTACCTCTATCGCACCTATTTGTTAAAGCTAAAATTTTCGATTGACGGATGAGGATGACACCTAATTACTCAATAACAGCAATTAGTGAGAGGTACCTACCACATATAATCGTAGTGTATTTTGTCAGTTTCTTTAATAGTTTTCATATCTATTACTGACAGTTACCATTTGCCTTCCTATCGGTCAACGCCTTATTTGCTATACATGTCAAATAAACCTATAATAATTTAAGGAAAATATAACGAGCAATAATCCTAATGTATTAATACTTAAATTATTTATTTTAGGAGTGTAAAAGCAAAACAAAACGCATGCTTCTGGAAAAAATGGGTACAGAAGAGAGTGACCTAGGTTTTGGTTGTGAGGTGTCTGTAACTGGAGTTGAAGAGAGTACAATGATCGCATCGTTATGCGACCTGCTTGAGAGATTGTGGTCCCATGGGTTGCAACACAAAAAGGGAAAGTCCGCTTTATGGATGCATCTCACAAATTACCAAGAATTAGAACAATGTAGCAATTCCACAAAACCAATCGATCCTAATTATCTTACGCCAGGTATGCTTTCAAGTCTATCTATACAAATAAATAAATATGAAGTATCTGTTTGTAATTTCAAATTAGATGCACTAAATGCATATGAAATTTTTAATATTTTAAATATTTTTTTAATGTTTTGCCAGTCTGTTTGTACTTCGGCTTCGAATCTTCGATTTTGACGAGACTTTCACTCGCACATAGCTAAAAAATGACAAAATTACACGTAAGAACAGTTACAACTAGTAATACAATAAAACATACAGTGAATGTGTGGTAGGAAAACATTGTATAGTTACCATTACTACCTAATTCTAGTAGTACTTGTGGGCGCTGCTATTGCAATTATTTCTTCTTTATTAATTACTATTAATATTTAATTAAATTGTTAATCTAATTATTGTCATCATTAATCATGAATAATGTATGAAGAAACAATGTATTATTTAAACATATTTGTAATTTCTTGTCCCTAAATCATAATTCCCATGAAATTATGCTCTCAATTGTTCCTTATTTATTTTAAATGGGTTGTGTTTTACTGAATTTGGATGCAGCTTTGGCCTGGTGTGTGTTACGCAAGCGTCTCGACTGTAAGTAAACGTCGCCTTAATAGTCTCCATGACGTTGTTTGCATCATCCAACATGTAGTTAAAATTATTTTATAGTATTTCTCTTTTTTAACGGTATCGAAATGTATTATTTATACTAATATATAATAAGTGTAATGTTTTTTCTACATATAATAATTATCAAATGTACTTACGGGCACCGTTGGAGGATAATAAGATGAGCATGAGTTCAGGGCAGTTAGCCCGTCGTGACAAATTCACGCGTAATTTATCACGATGATTTCCAGAGGGAACCGCGTGGAAGTCAAGCTGACTGAGGGTTTCCACATTACTAATAATCCCCCCCAGAGTTTCCTCTAAATACTAAACATTCTGGACAATATTATTATTCCACTATATATGTTATTGTAATTGTAATTATTATAATAGCATATAATAGATATGAATAATTTTCTTTATAGATCTGTCTTCGGTGGGTGCTGAAGTGGAGGCTCAACAAAGCACTAGTAGTGGTAACAGGTCTCGCGACAGTTCTCGTGGCGGCTCCAGAGATAGTTCTCGTGATCGTCTAAGCAATTCTGGAACGTTAGAACGGAAATCTTCTTTACCACCAAACCCACTGCGGCCGCTACCAGAGAGTCTAACTTTTGATATGAGGTATGTTGCTACAAATATTTTTAAAACTGTTATTCCTTACTGCACTAATAAATATTGACAAAAAATATGAGCTCTCTTTAACCGCTAAGTGCATCTGATAAGTAGATAAAGCTTATCCCTATCAGATGGAATAGAATAGAAAATCCTTTATTCAAATTAACTTAATTTAGACACTTTTGAATAGTCAGTGGATAACTGACTTCTTTTAATCTACCGCTCATTCAGAAAACTGTCTCATTATAAGAAGTATAAGCATGGAACGTAGAATGACAAATTATTATTAATTTAACACTGTATACAGTAATTTTAATAAGGGTGAAAGTATTCAAAGGCTAATGAAATTTTATTATATTATCGTTTGCTTTATATACCTGTGTATACAAAGCAATCGATATGTAACACAGTACCTACACCAATTGCACAATCAAACAAGATAGTATTTAGAACTGTACTACTAGATAACGTTAATAATGTATATATATATAATAAGTTTTATTACTTTTTCTACATCTCCAGGTTAAGATGTTCGCGTCAGTAAAAGTCAGTATTAGCGTTTTAAAGAGTTAGTGCAAAGTGTACAGATTTTTGTTATACTAAAAGGTGCAGATTAAGAGCGCTATCGTTATAAGTAACCGTTCTTTATGTGAAATTTGTTATTTTTATTTATTTGCTTACAGAAACGTTCAAGCTATGACCGACATAAAGACTGAAATTGGTTACGCTCGTGCTTGGGTGCGGTTATCACTTGAGAAGAAATTATTATCAAAACACCTTCGCGAGCTCTTAGCTGATACCACTTTACTGCGATCTCAATACAAGCGAACGGCTTTCTTGCGATGCGAGGAAGAGCGAGAACAATTCCTGTATCATCTGTTAACTTTGAATGCTGTTGATTATAATTGTTTTACTAATACATATCCTACTACAAGTAAGATGATTCTGTAAACATTCTATGTTATACCTCTTCTAATTTAATTAATAGAAAATATAAATAATTTTTAGAGACTATTACATACTTTATTAAGGAAAACTCAACTTTGTCGTCCTATTTCTAAGTATATTAAAAGACCACCAGTGTATCTAAACAATTTCAAATTCGCACAATTTTTGTACAATGTATGTCACTATATTCTCATTTTTTTATCTAGCTTTAGAGTTTTTTTATACATTACTTTGAAATAATCTACGCCTAGGACAAGTTTTTAAATATCACAAATCACATGTAACTTTGTTTTAGAATTGCCATATCGTGTTTTGATCGTTCCATCTCGGAAGGCAAGCCAAACTACTGCCAACTGCTGGATAGCTATATCAGGTGCAAACAGAGAATCTACACCCAAAATACCAATACCACGAAACACCAATGAATTTGTTTTCCATGTAAGTAATATGTAATTTACATTAATATTTATTTGCATGGTACTTAATATTCTCTCACTGTATTCATTTCGCCTTATAAAACACCTTGGATAGAAATGCAGGATGTTTTATAAGACGACTAGGTACAGACGAACGACTTTGGCGCAAGTGATGAAAACTCGAACAAAACTAGACCCTATTAATTTTTGATTTGTTTGATTATATATTTTATTTGCTTCAGCACAAGAATTTGGGACTACTATCTACGTTACGTATAGGACACGATAATTCTGGTCTCTCACCTAAGTGGTTGCTTGACCAAGTATTTGTGCGGAATGAAGTCACAGGACACACTTACACGTAAGTATAAGACAGACATTTTCTCTATAGTATAATAGTTTATTTATTTTGTTAGTAATTTAGCAAATGTCACACAAAAAATGTAGAACTTAGTCTCCATCAGCTGGGTCATCAACTCGATTGCGTCATTGAACTTATAAAAAATAAATTGGTGTGGTTTTTCTTAGTTCACGAGCTTCATTTAGGTTTCTCATAGCATTTGACTGTGTTTGATGTCTACATGAAAACAAATGACGCAACGCAAAAATTTGAATTTCACTGAGTAGTAGTTTGCACTAAGAATAAACAAGCAATGGTATTTCCTTTGCTTATTTATTCCTAGTCTAGCGTATTTTTTTCGATTAATTTGGGTTTTATGTGTATCGTCACCACCGAAGATTAAATCAGAAATATAAGAAAATTGTGGACGTCCATATTTGAACTCACGATATTTGGGATTTATCAGTAAGTGTAAAAAACGCTGCTCGGTCTGAGGTCTGAGTCTTACAAGGGTATAATACACTTGTTCCCCATTCCGGGTCTGTAACATAGTTAATCATGCTAATCAATTATTGATTAACGCCAGTAATCATGTTTACAATATGTGTGTCAATCATGAATGGAATCAATCAAACTAATGAATCGATCACTTTTCTTTTTAATCTTGAATGAATTCAATCAAATCAGTGAATCGATTACTTTTCTTTTTCAATCATGTATGAAATTAATCGATTACTGATCCGTTATCTATTGTGGTGGCGATTACCTACTCATAATGGGTTGTGGTGGCGATTACTCACACGTAATTGATTGTGGTGGAGGTTCCCGTGCAACCGTTGGCTGGGCACGGGCGTGGACGACGGCTCGACGGAGCGCCTGCTGCTGGCGGCGCGGCTGCGCTCGGAGCGGTCCCCCCGCGGCCCGCGGCCCGCGCCCCCCGCGCCCCCGCCGGCCCCCCACACGCCCACCACGCACCTCTCCACCTCCACCATACAGCACATGATCGGTTAGTCGCTTTTATATGTTTGACTGTTGTAGACAGTATCGGACAGACATTAGCTAAATATGTATTTACGTTATTGTTTCCGCTTAAACTATCAGTTTTAATATTTTTATAGACCGGTAATATTTGATCTTGATAACGTATATGTGTCGATACTCTACTTTTCTTGTCCATGATGAACAAACATCAATGTTTGTTTAACATCCATGAATATGGATCTTCCCTATATAGCGGCCAGTATATAGAAATACTTATAAAATAGTTTGATTATCAACGCATAACCGAATCTAGTAGGTGTACCTATATAAGTTTACTATAGAACATAAGCTAAGAATCATTTAACTTTCAAACTAAACTCTTGCAAAGTCGCTGGCAATAGCTAGTTATTTTTATAGTTTGTCGGATCTTGACATGAATATTGGTAAATAAATTTAAAATAAATTTTAATTACCATAAACATAATAATTAGTTTATTATGTTTATGGTAATTAAAAGTTTTAATATTGGATTTTATGACACTGATCGCAAGTATAAATATATTTATAATCCTGATGTATTACACTGACAATCTAGTCCTAAATCAAGTAAACTTTGTAATAAAGCAATTAGAATAATCTTTATTGAAATGAACATAATATAAGTATATATAAAATTAATAAAATCACACTTACGGTTTTTTTATTATTAGTTGATTCAGCCAATAGAATAAGCAAAATATTTGCCTGTTACTTTTTTCGACAAATGTTATATAATTTTACATTTCTAAAATTATATGTCAGTACAATCCATCAAAGGGCACGAATTCCTTGGTTTAAATCTTTTAAATTATAAACACTCACTGCATGAATCTACATAATGTGTGACAAACTTGCAGGGTCAATTCGGAGCCTTTTTAATTACAGGTGACTGTGTAAATGCTATAGTGAAGTGGCATTATCAGTCTAAAAGAGAAAAAGATGCAAACTCCCTCAGTGTACTCTTATGCGGTGAGAATGGATTGGTTAAATGCTTAGAACAAGCATTCCTTTGCGGATTTAAGTCAGCACGTCTGTTTGGAAAGAATCTATTCATTTGGGATTACTTTGGTAAGTATTTGTGTAAAGTAGCCAGTATAGAGTTACAATAAATATTATGATATATATGAGTAGACAAACATGAAGGCATAATCAATGCTTTCTTATAAGTGATTTCTACTGGAAATATTAATTTAAAATAAATTACTTGTTAGTTTTGTTTGGTATTTAATGTTTTTCATTGTGTTTGTTATCAGCACGTGTGAAAGACGAGTTCAAAATGAGCTTGTGTGATGAGCCGAGCCCCCAAGGGAACAAGGGCTGCAGCGTGGCGTATAACTGTAGACAAGACCAGGAGCACAGATCTATTTGGCGGTGCTACTGCCATCTTATGGACGAAATCAGCACCGCTGGCCGTACTCTAGGCAAAGACGGCAAATTTCAACTTTTTATATGCCTTAGTTTACGGTAAGTACCTAGTAAGAAAGTAGATGCGTGTGAGTAAGGGTCCTACTATGTTGTGACCATATACGACGCAGTCGTCTCTCATTGAGGTGGGCAGAAATATGAAAAAATATATTATATGAAAAACAAGTCAAAGTATACAGGTTCAGTGGTTCAAAATACTATAGGTGGCTTGGCACTTTACAATTAACCCTATATGGCATGGATAATGTTATGCATAACAGATATTCTAAATACAATGTTTTTTTTTTATTATAGAGAACATTGGCTTCATCGAATGCTGCTGCCAATGTCCATGACTCGCGTAACAATTGAGATGTACGAAGAACAAAGTTTCCTACGTAAGCGTGGTCTCCTGACATTCCTCAGACAAATACTCGAACCACTAGATGAGTTTGATATTGTCTTAGAAAACTCTCTCACCCAAGGCATTTAAATCTAGACGTACAGTCGTTCGTATTTTGTTAACGTCTGTTTATCGAATTTCAATATCGAAATTAATTTGCATTTCCTATTTTTTACTTATATTGATATGTACTGGATATATAAACTATTATATAGAGTGCATTGTAAAGTTTCAACAGGCGTTAATTATAACGAATGTGACAGTACTTATATCTTTAGTGTATACAATAATACATAATATATATTTTATCTTCCATCCGCGTGTCAGTAGTGGTAGTGTCAAATAAAATTAATTAATTAGTACATACATTTTGTTGTAATGTATGATACAAATGAAATTTATGGTTAAACCAGTATCGTGTGAAAAAGTTCTATAATAATTTCCATCCTGTGTAAAATTATAACAACTCAAAGAATAGTATGTAAGTAATGTGAAATACTCATAGGCATTATGATAATGATATTATTTTCCAGGGTCTGATTGTTTTGTACCTTTGTTTATTATTAAGTTTCATGTGATGATTATTAAGTTGTACTTTACTTATGTATATTACTTGCCAGTTGAACCCAAAGATTATTTTTTAGAAAGGTGCTTTATGGTTTACTTTTTTATCTTGTAAGTATTTTTTGTGCAATTTTGGTAAAAGATGCTGTTCATTAAAGTATTCAATAATATATTATATATTAGAAATTGAAATACTCATTCATTTATTACATAACACTTTGTCTAAATTCTTATTTTCTATCATGACAACTATTATATTAAATTTAATTATATTTTTTTCAACATGACTGATAATGAATTGTTGTCGAGTAAAAATATTAGTAATAAGTCAGGGCATGAAGTTTCTGTTCTAATTTTAACGAATAATACGGATGTCATACCTTTTTTGGTACATACCGTATGATTTTTGTTAAAGTTCGGAGAAGTAAAGCTTTATACGTAGTCAAAGTAGATAAAATCAATGTTAAATTATTCTGATTCACATTGAAAATACAGTAAATGTAAATTTTCCATGTACATACGTATGTTGAGGCAAGATAGTGACGCAACAGTCATGGAACTAACACTGCACGAAAGCAGTCAACGTGTATTCGGCGTAATGCGGTCTCGTAGTAGTAACTGTGGTGTTTTTTTTTGCTCCGGGTATGGCGACTATGATCTAAAGACATTTAAAAGTGTCATAATGTGTTATTATTTGTAAAAATTACTTAGAACTTTTTTTTCATCCAATTTAATTCTAAGAACTGTTTATGTAATAATCTTCTATTAAATAAATATACCATTGTTTTCTAAAATTGTAACACCGATGATATCGTGTTACATTCATCGTATTCATATAACCATTATGCCACACTTTTTTCCGCATAATAGGCAAAATCATACATATATATAACATCAAATTTTAATGCAGCATGTCGTATATGTAGGTACATTATTGTATGATAAATGTTTATGTATTTGAGACAGCTTATGTAACAATGCAGAAATTACTTCAGTTCGTAATTTATTGAACTTTCTGTATTATAAGAACAACATTTCTATTGATTTTACTACCTCAATTCCTTTGTTAACTATTATTAGCATTATTACTGCAATATATAAGAGCCAAGTATCTATAAATATAGAGAATTTATGAAACATACAATGTTAGGCTTTATTAAAAGCTAGATTAGCGAAATTAAACAACAACTATGCACGGGAAAAAATATACATATATTTTTAAAAATCAAATGCTACATGCTTTTAATGATTACATAACAAGAACGATGCAATTGACTAATAGGCAGCTAAACATTTTTTAATCTTAATTTCAATTCAACAGCTCTGCTGTACAAACTAATAGGATCAGACAATAAATTCTAAGCACTGTTCGAATGTAAAAACTATTGTATAACTAAACAGCAATTTCATTTATTCGTCTTCTGAATAAATACAAAGTTATTTTGTAATAATTAAATTCATATTAAATATATTTTTATTGTATTACATAATATGAAATAAAATTTATTATATCATCATTATCATTATTACATATTATAAAATAAAGTCGCTGTCGCTGTCTGTCCCCACGTATGCTTAAATCTTTAAAACTACGGATTTTAAAGCGGTTTTTTTTTAAATATATAGAGTGATTCTAGAGGAAGGTTTATATATATAATACATGTACACCCGTGCGAAGCCGGGACAAACAGTGAAGTATCAATGGTAATTATGTTTATTTATCTGACATTTACTACAGGTTTAATAGTTTTATAAGTCTTATGTTGTCTTCTACTTTTGTATTTTGTTAATTATCAATTAGTATGCAATGCATTATAATTCGTACAAATACTGTGACGTATGTTAAAGTCTTTTAGAATATAAGTAGACGTGGCTAACTTTAGGAGGATATGTATAATTGCCGGGTCGTTTATTTTTATATAATGGTTATGGAACCTGGAATATTTTTTTACAGATCTTACTTTCTCTTCACCTTGTACAATTTGCTTGATTACCTGTCGCTGTTGCAAGGTACAAATCGAGTAGTAAGTAGGTACGTTTCATACTACAACTGTTACATAATCGCAAAATTTTACATTTTAGCCAGTTTAAAATAACAATTCATTGCTATCAAGATAAAGCCTCTGTCGGCCTACTTGAAACTGATTCATTTATTAAAAATCTCATGTAACTGATTTAAAATTATATATCAGTTTAAATATATCAATTAATCTAAAAATTCGATGTGTTGTCTACCAATTGTTATATAATCTGTGTCATTACACAAATTATGCCAAATAATAGAAATTTTTAAATATTTATTATATCGTTTCTTTACAATTTTTTAACCACTTAATGCATATTTTTATAGTATTTGTGCCAAAAATAATACTGATTGAATTTACTAAAATAGTTTGGAAATTTACACACACATACACCACACACGTTTAAAAATATTAGGTAACTATTATAGAACATTGTCTTTAAAGTAATAGTGGGTTATTGGAAGATGTCGTAATTAAATTAGTGTTAGTGCATGTAGAAAGGGTAAAAATCGTGATTTTTCTGAAATTAATTTGTTGTGATTTAATGTTCCATTATTAATAGGATTTTTAGGTAATTATTTCTGTATTTACCTTAGAATTAATAGCTGTTCCATTAAACATATTTTTTTAAAATACTACCGTTAACAAACAAGATCTGTAAAATCCCTAACTAGACATGCACAGTGTTATATATCATTATAAAAAGCAACAATGGTGCCATTTTATTATAATCCGCCCTCTGTGACATGTTATGAATGAAGGTTTGCACTTTAGTACATACTTTTTAGAATGAAGAACTGTATTTATTGCTTTTCTGAGTCGGAAATTTTCTAAGAATTGTAATATTTCTTCACGTTTTTCGCTTAACATCTAAGTTATAGTCCTCATTCTCAAGTATAAAATACAGTATTTAGTGGTTTAGCTTTGATAGTTTATATTTGAAGGTTGATGCTTTTAAGAAACACTTCTAATATACCTATGATTCTTAATATTCATTCAGCAATATTGGAAAGCTATGAAATATAAATTTCGTAGCTTTCAGCATGGATCCAATAATGGGTATGAAAATCATTAAAACAGATAAATAACGGAAGTTTACTGTATTCGCCAAAAAATATATATAATAATATGTCCTCATAATAAATAGATTATTGAATTATTAAGTACTGCATATGTATTTTAATTTAATAATTTTACTCTAAACTTATTCTATATTACATACCTACATACACACATTTTTAGAGTAAAAGTGTAAAATATCTGTTGAAGATAAAACAATGCAAGGGTAGATAAATTATTCTACATTCATGTTACGATTTTATTTATTTATTGTATATACTGTCTTTCTATTGTACAGACATTTTGTAATGGCGCCATTTTGAGATTCATCTAACTGAGACTTGCCTAAAGTGTTATATTATTATAAAACCTCCCCTACCACGATGGTGAGTCACCTGTGTCTACAGATATAACAACATTAATTACCAAATAAAATCGTTGACACTATAGTCTTCCGAGTCATTAAATTTAATGTTTTTTTTTTTATAAAATTGACCAAAGATTCCATATAATAAATTGTTACTTGCGTAGATAACTCCAACAAACTTGTCCATTAAAATTATCTGTAGTATACCGTCTTTTATTTATAATCGTGATATAAGCTCGCCGATCCACTCCAATTTGTTCTTAATTGTTCATATAATATAATTTGAAACTATTTGTAAAACAAACTGAGAAGCTTTAACAAATAGCGGCACAATAATATTATGAATTTCAGTTTCATTACATATCTTATAATATGCAACAGAAATCGAAAATAAAAGTATTAAGAAAAGAACACGATTAAAGTAACATACAATTAATTAATTTCTATAAATATATGTTCTATACATACATGTTCCTGGAATATAGAAACTCTCCAAATTAAACTTTTATGGTTGAAAGAACTTACTTTCTTGCTAATTTAATATTATTCGTAAATTTGGTAACTATAAGAGTTAAAAATTGTTCCAGAGCTTAGAAAGTTAACGCCATCTATTGTCAAGTAGAGACAACTACTCAATAAAGAAATCACTACTATAGTTTACTGTTCTGTAAATAAATAACTACACATTTTGTTACCCTCCGATAGTTTTTAAAACTTTCTATGGGCTAGTTAGTGATAATCTTTACGTATTTGGCATAAAGTATAAAGACCTGTATCATACAGAAACAGCTGTAGGTAGAAACTTTATTCTAGTCTGGGGTCTAACCCGTAGCCGTTCAAACTTCAAACAAAAGTGCTACTTACGTACTACTTAATTATATAGAACAGCAATTCCTTCTGTTTAATCTTAGAAATATGTCATTGGAAAAAAAGTACTTATATTTTGTAGTTCATATAAATGTGGTAACTATTAAATTTATATTAAGCCAATATATTAGATTTAATAGTTACTAACAATTCTCATTTGAACGGATTAAATTTACAATTTAACAGTTATTAACGGTTGAATGGTTCGTTAATAACTGTAAATTAAATGGATTAACGAACCGTAAAACTTAGATCGCATCTGCTCTGAATTGAAACGATTGGGAATTGCTATAATAATTAGAGCTAGTAATCACTATGTTATTTACACTAATTACAACAAGTACAACTAAACGTTATGATAATTTGCTCAATGGTACAACCCTGTTTATTTGCGTATAACAGAACGTACGTATATTATTGCAAAAATATTGCAGTACGTTTTATTATTTTAAGTTACCTCTTAACATTTTGTAAAGTACAGTAAATCATAGGTATGGTATATTTAATAAAATATAATTTAATTTCCTAAATTTATACATTCGATACCTTTACTACTTCTGTATTATTTGTCAAACATGAAATTACTAAACGTTGTCTATAACAAAAAAGCGCTGAATTCAAATGGTATATATTAATATATTGTATTATGTTACGACAATTAAAAATTTGTTATTCAAATTATATTATTTTTAATGGAATAAAAGATCTACTAATATACTTTTATATGAAACTAGTTTTATTTAGGTCTAAACTATTACATTTTTTGAATACTCGCTAACGATGTTTTAATATCTATCACTAGATGGCGTTACGTTGCTTGTTGTGTGCGGTCGTTCGACCGACAGATATTCGGCAAGTAAGATGGCGACTATTAATGTGAAAGGCGAAACGTTGTCTTATTTCTACTTGTAAATAAAGTAATTGGTACATTTAATCATTTTACTGTTGTACAAAGTGATATATATTATTGTAAAAGTGAAAATTATATCGTGAACTGTTGTGTATGTCGTTAAACTGCAGTGGCTTTATTTCACAATAGACAAAACCCGTCGCAGCGAGCACCCAAGGAGTCGAGGCCATATTTATGATGTTATCTGTCGTGTGAGCGTCCTCCGAAACCACATTGATAAATGTTTTGTTGAAAACTGAAGCGATGGTATGTTTTGATGACTGTACACTTACTGAAAGTGACCTGTTCAATTAAAAAAGATTCTGTATTGTTCCGTCGCACCTTGACGCTTTCATGGCGAAGCGGCGGTATTTTTATTTCAATAACATTGTCCAAATGATAATTAATATTCTTATATACAATGATATTGTCATTAGTCTATGTTCGTAATTTATGAAGTCATTAATACCATTATAAACATTTAATAGAACTCCAATAAGACGTATTTAAATTGTGTAGAGTTGTATTTGTACACTAAAATTGTCTTTTCTTCTTTTCAGGGGTGTATTTTATGTCTAAGAATTTACTAATAAACTCAAGATGATAATCAGTGCATCAATTTAGTGGTAAATAACACATCTAGTGGATATGGATGAAAGTGTGGACTTCTATTGACATATTACATACATTGACACAAAACAAAACATCCCGGAGGTGGTAATGGATCCAGTAGGACCATGGTCAGCATATGCTTCATACAATCGGTTAGCAGGGGTACAGGCTGGTGCTGCAAGTGGAGACTTTCATCACCACCTAGCCAGTGGTGGTACAGGATTAGGCAGCCAGTCCGTACCGTCGACAACAAGTCAGTTGCTGCTTCAAGCAGCACATACTACTGCTTCATTAGCAGGACAACTTGGTTCAACAACAGCATCTCCTTTTAACCCAGGAGGATTTCTTTCTCCACCTGCTGTTGGGTATGATGCAGTATTCTCACCACTTTTTCACCATGCAAATCCTAAACCTGCACATTATAGCTCTTCTCTTCAGGCCCAACATCGACAAGTAATAGCTCAAGCCGTTGCTTCAAAACAATCTTCAGTAGAAACTGAATTATCTTCATTGCGAGAAAACTATTCTCATCAAACATTAGCTGCACAAGGAACATCATTTTTTGATCAATCTTCAACACCAGGAAGTACAGCCAGCTTAAGTTGGCAAGGAAATAATCAACTTCCAAGTCCATTTGGGATATTGCCCCATGAGAGTGTTGTGCCGTCATCACCAAGTCCAGCTACAACAAAGGCATCTGCAACCTATGAGAATTTTAATGCCCATTTTGCTGCAGCACAAACACTCAATAATCATCTGAACTCTCAGATTTCAAGTACTGGTAAACAAACAAATAGGTCTGGTTCACCAGCAACAGGATCAAAACCAGCATCTTCCACATCATCCACATTTTTTCAATCTCCTTCATCTTTTGGAAATCAGACTGATAACTCATATAGTACAAGCGCAAGTGCAAAGGGTGGGCAACTTTCATCTCAGCAGGATTATGCTGGAAGTAAGTCATATTCAAGTTCTGCAAGTTCAACTGCTCATTCCCAGCAATCGTGTATTGTGTCAACTCCACCTGTAACCTCTTCCTCTACACCACCAAGCAAAGATTATCGTTCTTCCACTAACACCACTTCCCGACCTTCCTCTTCTATTTATAACTCCCAGTCGCCTAAAAATAGCAGTAGTGAAAAATCATCAAGACAATCATCAAATAGTAGTAGTAGTTTTGTCTCACCCACATCAAAACCACCTCAAGTGCAGACAAAAGCTCAGAGTAAAATATATCCAGAACTAAATACAGAACAAAGAAAAAGTTGTGACTCTAATGATAAATTGCAACCTCAGTCATCCCCTATAAGTTATTCTATTATGGATGCCCCAGGAAGATTAAGCTACAGTAGTAGTAGTATTAATTCTTCTAAATCTAATCGAATTGGTAGTACTCAATATTCTGCCTCTCAGGGTTCTAGTTTTAGACATTATCAAAGTGGTAATAATGTTGAATCTGATTATCATGTTCGTGCAAAAAGTAGTTCTAGTACTGATACTGGTTATTCCAGTAGTAGTTCACAAAATGGTCCTGACTGCAGTGTGGTTATAGCTAGAAGACAGAGTCCTTCACATGCTCCCCCACAGACCTCTCCCATTGGGCATGGTTCTAGTCCTGCTTATCCTATGTACCATAGTCCTATGAATTCTATAAATTCACCACAGCAACATGGTGACCACTTTAATAAAATTAACAGTTCTGCACCCAGATCACCTTTGGATGCATCAATAGCACGGCCTCCTTCACAAAATAGTCAGGTAGCGTATCCGTCTGTTATAACACGAGCTTTAGGTATTGATCAAACTAAAACCTATGCTGAAAATAGATTTGAACGAACACAAAGTCAGTCTTCCAGTCAAAGTTGTTGGGAAAATGAACGGCAATCAACTAGAAAATTTTCTAATACCAGTAGTAATAGTAATACTTACAATAATAGTACATTAGCTGAAAGTAACAGTCATAATGAGGAAACTCCTCAAACTCCAACTCACAGAACCTTGTCAGAGAAACATCAAAACTATTTTGATAGTAACAATGTGGCTTTACAAGATCTTTCTAGTTGTAGAGGGGATCCCATGACTATAGTCAAAAACTTGCAAAGTTTGCAACAAAGTTGTCAATTACAAGATACAAAATCAAGTAAAAATCAAACCCCAATATCAACACCACCGGTGTCCAATAAAACTGTAGCACGAAGAAAGAGTACTGAAAAACCTGTTTCTCATACAAATATGAATGAAATATCAAATGCAGTAATGGCAGATTATTTAGCTAATAGAATTCCACCACCAGCTCATAGTTCAACTAGTAATCAACAACAGAATGGTAGCTATTTTGATTTTGAAAGATGGAATCTTCCACCTCCTCCACCCAAAATGTTTCCTGGCACTACCGCTTTCGGTTCTCAAGCTCCACTACATGCAACAAATTTTGCTAACCAACATCAAGCACTTGCTATGCCACATGGCCATGCTTTAACATATTTCCCGCCATTTCACCTAGGTCCACATCCTGATTTCCAATCTTCTGTGGAGTTAACACCATTGTCGTCATTTAGCGAGACTCCACCTTCGGCTTCCTCGTCATCTTTTTCAACGCCTGAAACTCGTGAAGAGGAACAGCCTAAGGTGGTAGTACCTAATATAGAGGAAGAACTTGGTTTCCTTGCAGAACAACGGGCAAATACTGCATCATCGGTAGCACCCACTTCACAGCAGCCAAATCTAAACAGCACTTCACAAGACGCTACTACAAAAATTATGGAAAAAAAATTCAATGTCCCAGTCACGGGCCCCGGTTCAGGTTTCATGGCTTCTTACTTGAAATTTTTACAAGGAGAACGGGATACTTCTCCGCCACCGGCCGGTCGAGGCGCCAGAAAATCGACTTGGTCGAGAACTACTACAAACAGCAATACTAATAATAAAGGGTACACACAGAATGATCACACTAAAAGTCAGTGTGATGCAAATACTACTCAGCAAAGCGCTAACGGCGCTATGACGACGCCTAATGTAATAAATACAGGGATGTCTCTGAGTAATCCAGCTATGAGTTCGACAGCAAATATGAGCACAGCAGGCTTATTGGGTGCTAACCAGATACATGGTACGTCGACAAATTTACTTAGCTCGCAAACAAAAGGTCTTGAATTGGATGATCCCCGTTATTATAACTTGAATAAGGATAGAAAACGTAAATATGATGGAAGTGAGGAATCTTCTTACGATGCGGATGAAGAAGCAAGAAGATTGAATAAGCCAGTGCTCAATGTGCCTAGTACGCCTCTAAATGATAAAGGTAAGAAGGGTCGGACGACTATGAATAAGCCGACGCCTTCAGCAGTAGTGGCGCCTCAGCCGGCCGCGCCTAAGAAGCCACGACCGCCTGCGCCGCCGCCCGTGGCTACGCTGCAGGCAGCGCCACACCAGCAATACTATTACCAACAACAACCCGACGAAGGTGCGTTCAATTTATTAGATTTCCATTTAAGAAGTAGAGCGCGATGGTGAAGAGCTAGCCCTGAAGCTTGTATGACAGGAGCAAGCTAACTGCCATTAAGGCAGGTTATCGTGAAAACTTGTTACATTTTAACTGTGATAATGTAAATTTTTATTAGATGAAATCTATGATTATTGAACTGTATATATTTTCTATAAAAGAAATGTGATGTACCTATCTTGTAGAGGTTGATATTTTTAGCGTTAGTCTGTAACAAGATTTCACTTGCATTGTTGTTAATGACACATTATTAGTGCCATTTTATTGTAAATTGTAGAAATTGTGACTCTTGTCATACTCGCTACTGAAGGGGTGCTACCATTAATAATTCTAAAATCGTGGTATATTTTTTTATGGAATCAATACCAGTGGGTGTCTGTTGTATATATAACATAGTGTATTGTATTTTACAGTATTGAGTTTAGGTGGTACTTACTATAGTGTATGCATATTCTTTAGCTGAAAGTGATTTTATATTATAAGGAGAAAATGATTTGCATAATAAATTGACAGCTATAAGTAAGTGCAAGATTATGTAATAGATGGCCATGCCCTGGACATAAGTTTTTTGTATTTCTATTTAATTGTTATTTGTTTATGCACAATTCTCAATATTTTATGTAAATACTTTTGTATAATAGGAGGAGACATAAAATAAACACGAGTATATTACTGATCATGTGTAAAATAATTTTAATTTATAATTATTCCTGGTAGCACCCCTCACTTCGCCAAAATAGGGATAACATGTACATTGTAATTGTAATCTTTTTTTGTTTGAATTTATTGATTGTATAATAAATTAATTGTCTAAGCAATATTAAAGCAATAGCTGTCATGTGTACATGTTATCACAATGATGACTTGTTCGTCACTTGGCTTCCTTTCCTCACCACTCCTCAAACCTTAATTACAATTTGATATATTCAACACAACAAGCACTGCATTGATCTTAACAACAGGTAAATATATTTTTAAATTTTTGTTTTTTAAAACTGTAATTTCTCGTTTATGATTTAAATTTTCATTTTAGCTACAGCACATGGACCTAGTCTAGGTTATGGGCTCGGATATGGTGCTCAAGAAAATGACAACAACAGCGATAGAAAATTACACCATATCAAAACCCATCAGCAAATTTCCAGTACAGGACAAATTGAAAATACTAGACCAATAGAAGAAATGCCTTATCAGGTAAAGAATTTGTAGTGTTTGTTTACAAGGCGAATTTAGTACCGCACCAACAAAATCGAATCAATTTAATTCTTGGCAGTAAGAATTGTAATAAATACAGGACAGTACCTACTAATAAAAATATAGTATCTCGACATAAAATTACTGCAGAGGCTGTACGAGAAAGATATATACTACACAGGCTATCAAAGATCTACGATTAACCGGAAGTGAAGGCATTCAGAAAAATAAAGAAATCTTGACCCTGTAGTTATGAAACTAATAAGTATTTGTATAAAAAAAAAGCTAAAAAATCAACATCCTATAACCTGAGTACTGCTTCTATTAATCATAGCCTTAAATTTAAAGTCGTCTTAGTTCAGAAAAATCATTGAACAAAATATATAAATAATATATTTTCTAACTTTAAACTGTACTGAAAAAAAAAGTAAAGTATTTTGGCAAGTAGTTTCAAAAGTTTGCTTATTCAATACAGATTTCACGAAGGTAGGTAACACTTGCTAGATATCTTCTATAATAAATAAAAAAAAACATTTATACTAGAATCTAAATATTCAGGTATTATTGGGCTCCAATATCATGTTTGTTCAATGTTCTTGCTGTCTAAGTGAATTTAAAAGATACAGTACTACTAAACTGATTTCATAATGATGTTATGCATAGTACATATGTACGTACGTACGTATGTCATAGTTATCTTTTTTACAAAGGGTTTTAATAAAACGTCAATTCTTAGATTTAAACATTTTAAATTAAATTTTCGAAATCTTCCTTCTGCTTAAATACAAGTACGAGATCTTAAGAAAGACGTGGCAGTATGACGGGTAAATCGACCACTCGGCAATTGTTAGAAGCATTACTCAACTCAAGGCTACACTCCAAAAGAGTAGAGAGAGAAAAGAATCGCACATATACGGATAATAGTAGACGGTGAGAAACTAGGGAGAAGAAAATTGTATTGGAAAAAGATACTTGTAATGGATTTAAGAAATGCGTAAGAAAAGATCGCATAGAAGGAATAAGCAAATAGGATAACTATTATGTTAACATATTACAAAATACATGATGTTTTTAACAAGGAAATTGCAAGAATGTTCGCATGGAACAAAAAGGATACAAAAAAAAACTTAAAGCAATTTCTTATGATGTTTATACTAAGAAAATTGAGTAGTAAGAAATCCACGCGGATCTACTCACTGGTTCTCAAATCACCTCAAGGTCGTCTTAAACGTCGTCTCGTTCTTATCGTTTGGATTAAAGTGATGAAGTTACAGAATTAAGTGAACAAAGTTAAGCAGGTTATAGTCTAACAATGACTGTAATATTATGATATTCATAATAATAAATATTAACAATATCTAAGTAGGTACTTGACGGCCTCGGTGGTCTTGCGGATTAAACACCGCCAAACTTCTGATGGTCGCCAGTTCGATTACTCGCACAGCGCAAACATTTGTATTCCTAAGTATGATGTTTAAAGAAAGGTTTGGATATTCCCTATGTATGTTATGTATATATTGCCAAAAAATCTATTTATATCTATTGTTTAGTACCAATCAGACACTTGGATAGACTATCTACTTGGCATTACTAAATGGCGCTGTGTGAATTGTCCTGGGTTATATTTATTATTATTAATTAATGTCACAAAAAATGTTTAATATCTTTATTTTTATGTGACATAAATAGCCAGAGAAAGGCTTTATGTACTGAATCGAGGTATAAAAATCATGGATAAATAACAAGGTATTAAGTACAAAGTTATTGGTATTACCACGGTATTATAATACCGATATATAGAAATTTACGGATTATGAATCTACCATGTATTTAAGCTTAACTTTACACTTTGAAAACGTACTTCAATCGCTGCACTTCGTAATCATGCCAGTGTGTAGACGTTATTCTAACAGGTAGAGTTCAATCCAATATAACGTGAGTATACGTATCCAAATACTAGTCACCAGTACCTTGAGGTTACATTGTATGAGTATTTATGCAGTCTATTGCTTATATGTGCTCCGTGCTCCTAATATCTAAGTAATACCCAATTTATTTCAGTCCGGAGAATTTGTGGCGATAAAAACTGAATTAAGTGAGATGTGGCCTTCTATTTGGAGGGTAGATGGGAAAACATTGCTACAAAAGTATGAACCTTTTGAAGAGAATGGCAAAGTATTGTATCGAAATATTTCCACTGTAAGTTAAATTGTTGTGAAAGAGAGAAACTAATCAGACAAGACAATGGTTTGATTTCGTGTCTGATAATTAAATTATATAATTTCAGTACGCGGCGTGGAATCCAGAAAATAAAAAATTATACACACAGGTCCCAGTGAAAGTTCGGTCACAGTCGCATTTGGAGACGATAGTAGAGTTAGTTAGGAGTGAATTGCCTAGAAGCGAATTGCCCTTCGATGATTGTAGTTTTATAGAGAAAAGGATGCTGGAAACTCAAATGTATCAGGAGAATTTTGAAGTGTATATACAAACATTAATATCACATGCATTAGACCCGAATTTTCTAACGGAAATATTTCAAGAGCAAGGTGAGTTGCTTTTTATTTTTTATGTAAATGTTTTCATTAACTCCAAAGTGTAACAGAATTGCAGTGGTTTGGGTATATAGAGAAGTGTTAAATTCTGCGGACGCAAGATAAAAATGCAAATACACAATCGTAAAAATGTTATGAACTTGAACGATTTATTTAGATTATGGCAGGCAGGTTTAGTATTAATTAAAAAGAACATCTATCGTAACAAAACTAGTTAATCAATTTGGTATCAATAGGAAACTGAATTCATTGAAATGTATACACTAAAAATATACTTGAATAGGGAATCTGGAACCGTATTAACGTGTACAAATATCGTTTCCAGACGAATACTTCCTGTCCAACGTGAAAACGGTGGATGAAGTGACGGAGCGGATGCGCGGGCGCGTGTCTAGCAGCGCGGGTGTGGGTGGAGCTGGGGGAGCGGCGGCAGCAGCGGCGCGGGCGCTGGACGCTGCGGTGGGCACGTGGCCCGGGCTGAGCGTGGCGGCCGGCGCTGGCGCGTGCCGGGCCTGCGCCCGCGCCGCTGTCGCCCGCCTGCTGCTCTACGGCCAGCCCTACAACCCCGCCACGCTCGAGCCCGTCCAGCCCGACGCGAGGCTCGCCTACGAGAAAGTGAGTTATTGTCCAGCGTTACCTATTAACTACTTCACACGTTGGTGGGGTCAGTCAGTTGTCAGTCCACATTACTAATATTCCCCAATTATTAGTAATGTGGACTGACGACCCCATTGCTGGCAATGTACTATTGTCGGCTGGCCTCCGCGCGGTTCCCTCTGGAAACCATCATGACTAATTTCTGGTGAATTGTCATGATGGACAATAACATTACTGAACTTATATATTTATCATGCTCCACTGGTGACGACCGCCAGCGTATACCGTTAACGTAGGCAGGTGCACCATGCCATTATAATTCCAACAAAAACAAAAATACTCCACATATTTAGTTGGCATAGTGTGATAAGCGGTGGTCCTTTCGCGACGAAACTTTTGTATCCACGAGTATGATTGTTTGGATTGGTCTACCTAGACCAATACACACAACGTACGTTGTGTCATTCATGTTATACAAATAATAATTTGTATAACGTGAATGACACAACGTAAAGTTAAAATAAGATTAATATTGATTCAGGTGTTCTTATTTATTAAACATATTATGATATACGTAATTTATATTAGTAAGGAACGACTAAACATTTAAAGATATTGGAGCTTTAAATTACGTTCAATTTGTCAATAAAATATGTATAGTGAATTTTAGTAAACAATACTGAACCAATTTATTCCGATCAATTTATATTGACAATTTAAAACTACCTAGTAATTAACATTTACAATAACTTGTATAGCTAGCTTATGCCTTGTATTTATAATGTAATTTGTAATGCATAATTGTCAACAAAAATTGTCTTCTTCGTTTGTAGACAAACTAATTATTTGTAAAGGCGTAGAAGAGTTATCGCTGAACGACTGCTGATTAAATTCTTTGACATCAATGTAATGCCTCATGCGGGTAGTGACTACATGTTTCCTAACTTAATTCAAACATTTGTATGTCATCCGTAGTCTAGCGATTTAGCACATCACCTTATTTTTGATAATCGCTGAATGGATTCGTTCGATTTCTTGCACGATACAAATAGTCATGAGTATGATATGATTGGGTGGGGTATTTTCTGTATATATTATATATGTATAACAAAAATTAAAATTTTAACAAAAAATGATAACAAAAAAAAACTAAAATTACAACTATGTATATGTAACAGTTAAGCTCTGGATAGCTTGAGACTAGATGGTGTTAGGTTAGGTTTTAGTTTTGATGACCTTCTATAGAATGCTCAGATATTTTTTTGTCATCATTTATATTTAATTAATACCAATGATAAGGTTTATTATAAACCTTCTATAGAAGGTCATCAAAACTAAAAACAAGCGTGTTCTACATTTTATACAGCTTCATGTAGCGCGCCGAAGCAGATTAAGTTATCTATTTGTGGGGTCGGTAGTAATAATAATGTAAATAAAATAGACCCTCAACAAATGATAAAATGTATATTAAGGAAAATTATAGAAATTGATACTAGAAAATATTATTAGAATTATGTGGCGAGTGACGGATGACATGAGAATATTTTAATGTGGATCGTATCTGTCTTGTCTGTAAGCGGCCAGTTGTCATGAAAAGAGGTAATGATGTGAAATGATTATAATACAAATTTATACAGTACACCATAACACTCCCTTGCCGAGACCGTGTCACGGGCGATAGTAGTCCGGGAAGTGAACTGTCCTGCCGCTGCGTGTAGTACGTGGCCTCTCAGGTGCGGATTGTGATCGCTGTTGCGTTGACGTAGAGTGCGGACTGGAATCGTTGTCGCTGCGTGCCATATAAGCTGGTTTCAACCGACGGTAAGCTCCTTGCCTTGAACGTCGATCTTGTACGTCTTAGCTTCTCTTGAGATAATTCTATGCGGCCCCGTATAGGGTGGTTCGAGAGCTTTCTTAATAGGACCTCTGCGTAAGAATACATATTCTGCACTGGAGAGATCTTTTGGTAGGTAAAATGTTGGCTTACTGTGACACGATGCAGGAGTTGGTGTAAACTTGGCCATATATGTCTGCGCAAGCGAGCGACGAAATCCGTGGGATCGGATGTGGTGTTAGCAGCTGGAGTGAAGAACTCGCCGGGCAATCGGAGTGTCTCGCCGTAGACAAGTTCAGCTGCTGAAGATTTCAGGTCTTCCTTCCAGGCGCTGCGGATACCCAATAAAACCAGTGGCAGTACTTCGGTCCACTGTGGATTATTATGGCATATAATCGCTGCCTTGAGTTGGCGGTGTAGTCGCTCTACTATGCCGTTGCACTGCGGATGATAAGCAGTGGTAGAATTGTGTTGAGCACCGACCAGTTATGAAATGCGCTGGAAGAGGTTTGAAACTGTTGCCCCCGGTCCGTGGTTATGGAGTGCGGGCAACCAAAGCGGGCAATCCAGCCGGAAATGAAGGCGCTTGCACATGATTCTGCGGTGATGTCCACCAGTGGGTAAGCTTCAGGCCAACGAGTAAACCTGTCGATGGTGGCGAGGCAGTACCTGTAACCAGAAGAATGTGCCAAAGGGCCAATTATGTCGAGATGAACATGAGAAAAGCGTTCGGATGGTATGGGAAATGTAGTGAAAGGTGAGAATGAATGACGTGTGACTTTACTGCGTTGGCAATCTGTGCATTGTTGAGCCCATAATTTGCAGTCACGTCGTATACCAGGCCATACATATTTCTGTGCAATTAGTTTGGCTGTTGCTGCTGCTCCGGGGAGACTTAAATTGTGCATGTTTTCAAATGCTTGTCGACGGAATGATGGTGTCAAGTATGGTCGAGGATATGCCGTTGAGTGGTGACAGTATACATTCCCATCGGTCTGTCTTAAATCTAGTGCTGATCCTTTTCTGAGAAGATCTTGCAATTCAGGGTCTTGAGCCTGGTCGCGTGCGAGATCATCATAATTTATCTCATGCCCGATTTCTTTTATGCGAGAAAGTGCATCGGCTACAACGTTATCGCTACCAGCAATGTGACGTAAATCTGTTGTAAATTGGGATATGAAGTCTAAATATCTGAATTGACGAGGTGAACATTTATCTCGTTTTGTTTTGAATGCAAAGGTGATGGGTTTGTGATCAGTGAATATGACGAAATTTCGAGCCTCTAGCATGAATCTGAAGTATCTAATTCCTTCATATATGGCTTCAGTTCACGATCGTAAGGACTGTACTTCTTTTGTGATGATGACAGTTTGCGTGAAAAGAATCCCAATGGAGACCATGCATTGTTCTGTCTTTGCTGAAGTACGGCGCCAATAGCTTCATCAGATGCATCAGTAAATAAGGCTAATTCGGCTTGAACATCTGGATGTGACAAGAGCGTTGCCTGAGAAAGACTGGACTTACATTTGTTGAATGCGGCTTCAGAGTCTTCAGTTATATTGATAGGAGTTGAACCTTTGATGTTTCCTGCGAGTTTAGAATTGAGGTCTCCTTGTATTTGTGCTGCATTAGGAATAAATCGTCTGTAGTAATTCAGCATTCCTAGGAATCTCCTCAATTCCTTGGCGGTTTTAGGTAGTGGATAACTTTGAATTGCTGTGATCTTCTCTGGAAGTGGGCGAGTACCGTGTACGGAAACGTGGTATCCTAAAAATGTTAGCTCACTAACGCCCCAGACGCACTTTTCTGTATTGATTAGTACGCCGTAAGCTTTGAATCTATCGAACAGGATTCTAAGGTGTTGAAGATGCCCTTCCTGAATTCTGGAGAAGATAAGTATGTCGTCCAAATATCAGAATACAAATTCGAGTCCCTGTAGCACTTCATAGATAAATCGTTGAAATGTTTGGGCTGCATTTTTTAAGCCGAACGTCATAAATGGGAATTCGAATAACCCGAAGGATGTGGTGATGGCGGTCTTTGGAATATCGGCTTCATTTACGGGAATTTGGTTGTAGGCTTTTATTAAGTCAATTTTTGACAGTATTTGCGAACCTGATATGTGGTAACTGAAGTCCTGGAGGTGTCTGATTGGATACCTGTCAGGTATCGTCCGTGCGATGAGTGTGAGCTCTATAATCTCCTCAAGGACGCCAGCCATCATCTTTTTTGGGTGCAAGATGATGACCAGGAACTCTCGGATCACCGTGCAGTTCTATTCTGTAACATATCTTCAAATTCTTTTTTAGCTATGAGCAGTCGGTCGGTTGCTAATCGGCGAGGCTGAGATGCAACTGGAGGTCCGGGAGTGGTTCGGATGTGATGTTGCGTGTTATGCTTCGGTTCGGTTGGTGCACCAGCTGGTCGTGTGATTTCAGGATACTAGCGCAGCAAATCGTGAAATGGTGAATCTCCTGTAACTGCTTTAATTGTAATTGTTTCTTGTGATGTATCTTGGCAATGAGGGATTGAAATGGAGAGAGTGGTGACGTCTATAAGTCGATGGTTGCGGCAGTCGATTAATAAATTGTAGTGACTTAAAAAATCGACTCCTATTATCGGTTTGGTAACGTCGGCCAGTCGTTGACTCTCCAATTGAAATCTCTTCTGAGGCCAAAATCGAGGTGCAGTTGGATATAACCATATGTTGCTATGACTGTATTATTAGCTGCGAACAATTCGTACCTGGTTTTACGTCGTGGTCCTCTGGTCGCTGATTTTTGGAATACGCATTAGTCAGAGCCTGTATCTACTAGGAACTGGACCTTGGTTTTCCTGTCAGTGACGAAGAGGCGGCCGTTGCATACTAGGCAGTCATTTGCCGCCACTACTGGCTGCCTGTGCAGTTTTCCGAATTGTATGTGCAGGGAGTAGTACATCGTCTTGCTGCAGCTCCGAAGGTTCTATGATACCAGCATACATCGTTGGTTTGTGATTTAGATCGGGAGCGGGATCTTGAATTAGTACGTCTACCATAGTAAGGTCTGCCTCTCGATCTGGAACGAGACTGATCTTGTTGCTTGTACTTGGCTAGTTAACTCCTTTACTCGCTGGCACATGGTGTTGAACGCGGATTCCGGTACGGTTGACGTTACATGTGCGATGGTAGGTGGTGCGATATCGTGTACATGATCAACCAAGTCGGCGGTGGCTTCAAGTGTGCTATCCTTTTGCAAAGCGACGATAGCCTGAAGGTTAGCGGGTAAGCGACTGGACCAGATAGTACGTATAAAAGATCTTCACTTACTGCTTGTCCAGCGAGACTTTTCAGGTGATGCAAGAATTGTGAAGGCTTCCTGTCTCCGAGCTCTTCGTGCATCAATAATTGCTTAATTCTACGCTCCTTTGACGTGGTAAGTCGTTTTATAAGTTCGGATTTTAGCTTTTCGTACTTATCCGTAGGTGGCGGCGAAACAATTATATCTTTCACCTCGGCTGCGTACTAGTGATCAAAATTTTGTGGTATCGGCTGTGATGTTTGATAACGTGAATTGTCCTTCGATCTGAGCGAACCATACGGCTGGTTCTTCGGGCCAGAAAGGTGGTACTTTCACGCCAACCCGATTTGTTGTTCCATTATGTTGAATTTGTTCCGGTCGGTAGGTCACCAATGTGGGGTCGGTAGTAATAATAATGTAAATAAAATATACCCTCAACAAATGATAAAATGTATATATTAAGGAAGATTATAGAAATCGATACTAGAAAATTTTATTAGAATTTTGTGGCGAGTGACGGATGACATGAGAATATTTTAATGTGGATCGTGTCTGTCTTGTCTGTAAGCGGCCAGTTATCATGAAAAGTGGTAATGATGAGAAATGATTATAATACAAATATATGCAGTACACCATATATTAAAATTAATTTTCTAAACAAGAACTGGAATTGATTTTAAGCTTATTATAGTGTTATCAAAGACCAAATTTTTACTAATATTGTTATAATACACTAGCTGACGGGTATACTACGTTACGGCTGACAATTTTATTTTATACAGAATACCTAGTATATAAAGTAACATATGACAAATTTTTAATCGGGAGAAAACTGAACGTTTATTATATGTTCATGCTATTTGCTGACTTATGATAAATACATGATGCTACAGCCAGTCAGATGAGTGTATGTATAACAGGATAGCACTTGCAACAAGTTATTTCCACGTGAACAATAAATATAACTTTTTCCTATTTATAAGTAATTAAAATAAATATTATTCCAGGAGTTTCTCGTATGCGGGACATGTTGCGGTCGTGTGCAACTATATTCAAGAATATCACATCAAAAGTATCTAATGTACGCAGAATGTAGTAAACGAGTTGCCGAGAAAAGAATGCAAAACCCCAATAAGGATACTACTGTAATACTAAATGAGTTGTTAGCAGACGAAGTTTGGTTGTCACAGGTAATAATTGTGCATCAATATGACAATAACTCACAAAATGTATATATATAATAGATATTAATATTGTGTCGTCCATAATGTATTTGATACTAGCTGTGTCCGCTGTTTCACCCAGGTCAAATCTCAATAAAAATATAGCCTATATGTTATTCTGATATTGCATAAGCTATATTACTGTAAAGTTTAAAAAAAAAACCGTTTAGTAGTTTTTGCATGTTAAGAACATCAAACATTGATACTCACAAACGCGTTTATAATATTATTATTAAGATAAATTATACCTCATTTGATAAATGACTAAATAAGTACATTCTTTTAATCTGTTAAAGAAAGTAGTTTCTGTGATATTGCACATGAATATCAAAATGGTGTAAAATCACTGTGACCTGTGAACTTCTTATCACTTACAATGTACCTAAAATAGGTATATTACAACTTTTGATCAGAGGTTATAATTCTTATCAATCTTGAAATTACCTTAATTAAGAAGAAATGACCGTTTAAATATATAAACTTTATCGTTTGTCGTTGACGAACGCCATCTATTATAAGTAATCCGAAGTAGGGTTTTCTGTAAAAACACTAAAGAAAAAAACTATTTCGTTTTTATCATTTGTGTCTTTCCTATTTTGTTTTGTGCTAAAACATATTACATTATTACATCTTCAAAAATATTGCACGAAATACATTAAACATTGTATTTGTCGACAGTTGTTCCGCGACGTGCGTCACTCTTGGGCGGAAGCAGAGGCTTGGGAGCGCAAGCTGCGTCAGCAACCTGCCAGACACCTCGTATAACCCGCACTCGTCGATGTACGACGCTGTATTCATGGACTATTTTTTAATTTGATTTTGATACCTGTGAAATACGTGCTGTATGTATGTAATTCTTTTTGTATTTTAGTATGCAATGTACTAGCATTTAAATTTAAATACCAGGGGCAGGATCTACTAGCTATAGGCACACATCACGTTTCTATTAGTTAATATTATTTTTATTGTTTTTGTCATCGAATTTTATTGGCTGTTACTTAGTATCAGTCCATTCGTGTCAATACACCGGTGCCATTTTTATACCGTTTTGTAAAAAATAATTATGTTGTATGGATCATGGTAACCTTTTTCGTTATTCGCTATATTTATGTAATTAGAATAACAACAAATGTTCTAAAATACCTGAGCAGCTTAGCTTTGAGTTTTAACAAATTCAATTGTCTACCCAAAATAATGGCCAAAACAAATTTATCTCATTATAAATACGTAATTTCGACGAGCACTATAGTTATAGTCTGTTTTTTTTCTTGTATGGCATTACTAGTAAACAAAATTTAGTAAACGTGGTAATTGACCAGAAACTAAATAAAAATCGGCATATACTAATATAAAACAATGAGGTTGGGATACGTTGAATCTATTGTTAAATGAAAATGTGTCTTATACAAAGATTAGAACTTATAGAGATTGTATAATGATCGGCTCATCAAAGAAATACTCTATTTTATATACTCGAAATGTAGTCATGTTGTTTGAACCATCATTTATTTGCCAGTTATGCTAAGTAAGAAAAGCAAACTATAAATTTTGTTATGTTCTAATAAAATATGAGTATATTTTCAATATTGTAATGAAATTATTCCACTATTATTTCTTATTGTAAATATGATATTATTGTGCAATGCCTAATGAGGAATATGATTTATTTTCTTTTAAATTAACAATGTGGATTGTAAATGTAGAATTATTATATTAAACAATTTTATAGATATTTCAAATTATCGGTGACCTTTTATTTGTGACTATGACCATGTACAGAATTGTATAGAAATTATTAAATTGCAAGGCAAATAGTTCCTTTTTTACTTAGTCGTTTGTATGATTTTCTGTAAACAAATGAGATCTTCATACAATCTTTTCTTTTATAAGATCTTAGGCCTATTAATGATACAAGGAGTGGTAACAAAGTAACAAAAGAAATTTGCCGATACAAACAATCATACTTAGTGTCTTGCTTTTCTGTTCTATCTAATATATTCAACTACATAAACGATATACTCCAATAAAGCTAATATGTATAGAACATGGCATTTGTTCTTTAAACATGAAAATTACAAATAGTCTCGTGAAGTTTACCACTTAATTTTTAACTGTACTTTTCAATCTGATAAATGTAATACTAAAAATCTTTTGTTGATTTTGTGATTTTTAATTATTATTTTTAAGCCTTTGGTCTGTGAAAAACTAGCGTTTACAACATGTGGGAACATTGATGTATACATTCAATTTCACATTCCTGGAGATATAATTCTTACCTGGTCTCATTAAAATAATATTTTCTTTTATGGTATATACCACGACTACAATTTGCCCCTATTTATAAAGCGAACAAAATGTAACAATATTTCTATTGTGCAAATAAAGTACAGTACGAGATGATATTTTGTATAATTATTGCATTAGGTTGTATAGGTTAACACATTACTACATAATGTAGTTTATAATCCTAAGTAGTTATGTAGCATTGTAAAAATACAGGTTCTATCTGGTAATTAAAGTTGAAGAAAACTTTATTTTGTTCAGATTGGACAAGACTTGGTCGAATTTGTTTTGACACAATATTTTAATGTAAGACATCTTAATAAACGGCAATTTCATTTATTATTATCTTTCATTAATTGTTCAAAAGAAGAATTATTCATGAATGGTTTATTACTAAAAAAAAACAAAATAAGCAAATATTACACAGTTATACACAAATAAATAAAGTTACAGAAACTGGAAATTTGTGAAATATTTACTTGTACTCATTGCTCCCTTGCAGAACCTTGTTCTAACACTACCACTGATTTATAGTGAGCAGCATTTTACAGACTTACAATTGTAATGGGCTATTTAAAATAATCTTACCTGTTCTGTTGTGAAATTTCAAATCGCGTTTTATTATTTTAATAAACAGATTAATATTATTTTAGGACATTTAGAAAATAAAACAAGTACCTTTTTTCAGAATACTTATAATTTGCTTGCACACAGCCTCTATTGTTAAGTAATAGAACTGAAGTCCGACTGAAATAATACATTAACAAATACTTTTCGGGCGACGTAATACGTACTCAAAATAATAATTAGTCTAAAACATTGCTGAAAGTCATTATTTATTATTAGTGAATGTTATTATTGAAGCTATTAACCTTGGTTTCAATATATTAAAATAATAGTAAAATTATCTAATCACCAAACTAAGTTGGTTTAAGAAACAATGCATGAAATATTTTAATACATATAATATACATACAATTAAAATCAGCTGTATTAAAAGTACAATATGAATGAGATTTAATAAGGTCCCGGTAAATAGTTGTGTGTGCACACATCTTCTGTACTTAATCTATCACGAGGACGAGGCACGCACGAGGTACTAGCGACATATGGCGGCCCCACTGGCCCGATCCATATCGCCTCAATTTAGTCACAAGCGTGACCATAACCTATACAAGAATCTAGAATTACGTAACTTATAATAATTGCATATATCATACATCTAAATTCAAGTAACTTATTTTTTATTCAGTTTCATGTTTCAATATTTTACTTTTTTTTTTATTCTTTTTTTGTTTATTATTTTTATACCATAATCTCTGTTTGTTGTTACCACAGCGCGTTGTTGCCGGTGAAATCTGCCTTCCACGAATGATTTTGTCCACCACTATGTATATGACATAATGGCCATGATGCGAAGCATCTTCTAATTCATATATAATTATTCGACGTTGTCTGACTTGCGATTAAAGTGTTTTTTTTTTTTGAGGGTTGATAATGGAATGGTGCACCCGCCTGCGCTAACGGTTTACGCTGGGGGGGCACCAGTGGAGGATGATAAGATGAGCATGAGGTCAGGTCAATTAGCCCATCGTGCAGTGTTGGGGGCGCGGAGGCCGCGCAGTCCCACGTGGACCACCCCGTGGCCCTCCCCTGCCGCGACTTTTGAATCCACCCTGATAGCTTTGATTATTATCATTGTATCTGTCTCGGCCACCATTATCGTTATGGTGGTGGGAATCAGCTGGATCGCCGTTTCCGTAGTACCCATCTTCTCGGGTGTCAGCTCGGTTATTATACCCGTCCTTACCGTGCCTGTTTTGATAACCATCATACTGTCGGCTCTGGTAGCCTTCCTTATTAGGCCTGGTCTGGTATTCGCCGCCGTGTCTACCCCGATACCCATCGCCGCTCTGCATATTCAGGAAGGTTCCACGGCCGCGATGACCGTTTGGTGCCCCACGACCACCTACACGTCTACCATAACGTCTGTATCTATTCTGTCTATCACCCTGACCTTGTGTCTTACGGTCCATACCATCCTCATGCTCAGGACTACGGCTCTCTTTCCACTCGTCATCATTTTTCTCCTCCACAGATGTAGCAGGTTGTCGCTCTTCGTGTTGATTAACAGGTTGACGGTCTACCTGAATAGTTGAGGTATGTGGTGGATGCTTAAGATGAGGTTGCGGCTGTAGTTGAGATGGTTGTGGAATACCAGGTTGTGGAGCAGGATGAGGCAGCGGTTGAGGGGCTACATGCTGAGGATGTGGAGGGTGTCCTTGTGGGGTCATAGGAATTTGGACACCAGCAGCATTTGGTGCAAAACCAGGATGCTCAGGATGTGGAACAAAATGGGCTTGCGGTGGTAATGGCATACCAGCAGCGTCTGGAACACGCCCCCCAGGCAGTTGTACAAAGTGTTGGTTGGTGAAAGTTTGAGTAGGAATAGGTGCTGGTGGTGATGGTTGGTTAGGAATTTGTGGTGGTTGAGGGGTGCCAATAGGGCTGTCAATTTCAGATTCTTGTAAGAAGAAGAAGTTCTGTGACCCTATTACTTCTGTTAGAGGCCTTTGTTGTGGGTACTGTTGAGAAAAGTATGCATGTTCAACTTCTTGCAAAGTAATTGGAGGAAGTTGACGTAGAGGATAAGCAGGAGCTGGTACAACGGCTGGTGCGGGAGGTACTGGCAGTGCGCCAGCGGGGGGATAAGCAGGTACTGGTTCCGTTACTAGTTCAGTTTCTACCACCTCCTGTGTCTCCTCACAAGCAGAAATAAAATTTTCTTCAGTTTCCACAACTACATTATCATCTGTCTTGTCAAAGTAACCACACTCATGGACTGTGGTAACAATTTCTTTTATACGTGCATAGGTTGTACCAAGTACTTCCTTTGGTTTACCATCAATAATAGAATATAAATGGTCAGCAGCTTTGGTCGCGTGAATGTGAAATCCAGGCAATCCTTCTTCATTTACTTCATGTTTCGGTGTCACTTCAGGGTATCTATAATAAAAAATATAATATATATTATTAATTTAAAAATATTATATTCACTATATGGCAAGTTGTGTTAGTAGTAGGATTCATTATCCTTATATAGTCTGTGGATAATGAAGTGTCTGTTTGTAATATTGAAATAACCATTTTTTACTACATGCATATGAATATAAATTCGGTACAGACACCAAAATGTCATTTTTTACAATTTTTGTCTGTCTGTCTGTTTGTTCCGGCTAATCTCTGAAATGGCTGGACAGATTTTGACGGGACTTTTTTGGTAGGTAGCTGATGTAATAAGGAGTAACTTAGGCTACTTTTATTTTAGAAAGATAAAGTTAAATTCCACGCGAACGAAGTCGCAGGTACAGCTAGTTATATATACATATATATATATTATGTACTTTGAATGTTATTAAAAACTTCCTGTTATAAATATAAGTAATACTTACAAATCATCTAAAATTTTTAGGTCTTCCTCAGTAAGTTTTGCCGCTCCATTACATCCATTCAAAAAATCATCTCGAGCTTCATTATTACCCATTTGCATAAGGCAATCCAGAATTAACAGTACTTCTCGAATTTTGTTTGTTTCCGCTGCATAACGTACCCAAGCATCCTGTATATAAGAAATTTAAAATGCCATAATCAAAATCAAATAATTATAAATTTTGGTAATTTGATTTTTACACTATCAGTATTATTTCATATTGTCTATCTAAAAATGTTAATGTTTACACTATTCTTTTTAATTGTTAGTATATAATCATTTAAATGTATTATATTTTAATTATATAATGATTAACATTCAGATCTTGAAGATTATATTTTTTGTTTAATTGTCAAAAAATATTTGTCCAAATATACAACCCAGTGACTGTTCAAGGGATTATATGTATAGAATATACTTCATATCTGAATTCTTTTCACTTTTAGTTGTTGTTTACTTTACCAAAATAACATTTTTTACAATTTTTGTTTGTGTCTCCAGCTAATCTCTTAAATGGCATGGACTTTTATTGGCAGGTAGCTGACGTAATAAGGAGTAACTTAGGCTACCTTTATTTTATAAAAAATATTTTATTTTAGAAACATAAAGTTAAATACCACGCGTACAGCTAGTAAGATATATATTTTTCAAAATAACCATATATGAAGTTGCAGGTAAGAACTTGTACAATATACACAAAAGCTACATGGTATAATTGAATGTACCTTTTTTGCTTGTTTCTTTGCTTCACGTTCTGCAGCTGTTGCAATTCCAGCAACTTGCTTGGACATATCCCTTGCAAACTCAAGTGTTTGGGCCACTTCATCATACTTTGCAACTGCTACCTTCTGGTCAGTATTCAGCTCTTTGCCTGCTTTTTGTAAATCGCGGTATGATGTTAGCTTACTCTAAAAAAAGATAAAAATATGTTAAATATAATGTTATACCTGAATATGACATTCAGTTATAACATTATACTAATATATGAACATGTTGACTGCCATTGAAATATTCAGAATTTACTGGCCTAAAATGACAATGTAATTTAATCTTATGATGTTATTAAAAACTTTTATTATAATGTATATTTATAGTTCCTTTTTCAATCATCTGTTCATGCTAGGCAGCATTGTATAACTGACATACACTGACTTTCTCTGAATGGGTGTTAAAAAAATGTGTGTACTTCTTTATCTTGTCTTCCCTGTGTTCTTAATTGAGAGACAAAGAGCAAGGCTGGAAGCATATTTTTTTATATATTTATTATTTTTTGGATATAAAAATAAACAATTTTGAAATAAAATAAAAATAATCCCCTTTCATATACTACAAACTCATACTCTAAATTTAAAATTTTGAGAATAGTCTTGATATAGATTTTAATGTAGTTTGTATGATGTAGAAATGTAGTGAATATTGCAAAACAATGTGTGAATATTTCCCCTAATTCTTTAATCCATTATATTTGTTGCATCATTTCATTATCTGGGACTTGTAAATTGTCAGTTTGACAGAATTCACAGGTCATGGTCTCACAGGTATAGTGATACACATAAATAGATACTGTTGAACCATAATAGTTCGATTTCACCATTTTGGTAAGCAAGAGTAGTATATAAGAGTTTCCAATAACAATATGTGTACATTTTTGACAGGGTTTAAGCAATATTACATATTATTTCTTCAAAAACAACATTTGTTACAATTGTACAAAAATAAAATAACTTGTTTAATAATCATGAACCTTGTTCTAAATCTATACTTAGAATAAGTAACTGCCAAGAGTAGTAAACCTTTCATAAATTGGTTAAGAGTTATTAGACTGTAGATTCTATTGCTAATAATGTGTGCACAACCTTCATGCACCTGCTCATGTGCTAAGTAACCTGATTTCATCCTTTGCTAGTAAAACATATAAGTATCTTTAATATGGGCATGAACAACTTTGCAACAGGAACCTTAACCATATTGTAACATTGCTGAAAAGCAATGAATAAAATATTTTCTTTCTTTCTTCTTCTTTCTTAACATGTTAATCGCTATTATAATATCAGAAAATTTTTCACATGAGCCATGGTAACTTTATTAGATTATTTCAAAAATGTATCAAGGAAACTTAATGTATCACAGATTTTTTTTTGCCAAAATTCCCAGAATAACTTTAATTTTTATGTCACACATATATGATTGACATGGCCCTATATTAAAACTTTTTTTCAAAACAACCACTTGTATATGTCTGATGTTCATTTATTAGAAATTTTCAAGATTTGGTTCTTATAGGCCAAGTTTTCGAAACATAATACAAATGTATTGTTTGCGGCGGATATCTGTGATTGCTGTGGTCTTCTACAAAATCGCATACGTCAGATATATGTCTGTCATGGCTCATGTAGAACTTCTTAGTGTCAGACACAGGTGAGTAACATGGCGATTAACACATTAATAATTAACATAATATATCCTATTACTTAACATTTATATAAAATTCAGTGAGCATCTTCATGGTGTCTAGTTATTCAACAAATTGTCAAGTTCTCAAACTAGCAATTAAGTATGGGAAGCAATTGCCCCAATGCTTCTTAGTTTCTTACTGATTATGATTACATATGATATTTCTAGTGTCTAATGTACCATTCCATATATTGCACGTACCTTGGTCCTCTAAATTATGTTTTTTTTTATGGATGATAATGGAATCGTACACCCGCCTGCGCTAACAGTTTACTCTGGTGGGGCACCAGTGCAGGATGATAAGATAAGATAACAATCCCCTTCCTATCATGATGGTTGAGTGCAGTGATGACTAGCTCACTAAGTATGCGGCTGCTACAGGTAGGTACTGGTCTGCTCTGATAACTATGACTTACTGGGGGGAAGGGGATTGTTGGTAATGTGGATTGATAACCCCATTGCTAGCAATGTATCATGTCAGGTCGACCTCCACGCGGTTCCCCCTGGAAACCATCATGTCAAATTCCTGGTGAATTTGTCACGATGGGCTAACTAATTATCATCCTGGTGCTGGTGCCCCGCCAGCGTAAACTGTTAGCACAGGCGGGTGTACCATTCCATTATCGACCCTCAAAATAACTATGACTTACTACAAAATAAATCAGTACTCAAGAAACTATTACATTAATTTATATTTATCAATTTTGCTATTAAAAATGCAAAACCGGAGAGCGTCATTTAAAAAAGCAAATTTTCTTGCTCATTCTTTTGAAATAAGTCTGCATTGATATGATAAAATAAATAATCTAATCGAAAGCGTTTACATTAAGTTTATTAGAGGAATTATTATTTCTATTACAAAATTCATAATAATGGAACGCATTATAATCAGATATATCCATAAAATATTATTTCATAATAAATTTATATCCCATGAAATTAATTAAATGACAGATGACAATAAAAATTTGGGCGTCAGGGTTTTGTATCGTCAACATTGGTCGAGCACATGTGTGAAAATGGCGTCAACGGTATGAAATATGCAATTATTTTATTTACTGCTGAAGTACACAATTGTATACCTTAATAATGTATTAAAACTATAATCTGAAGCTTGTTTAATTATGTTTTAGGATATTAATAATATAATACTTAATAAACAAAAAATATACTGCTCTTAATAGTGCTGTACATTATACGTACCTTTCTTTTCTCCAAATTTCGGATTTTATGCTCAATAATGGTCATAATCTGTCGTACTGGTGAATTATCCAAAGCCTCCGAAGAGGCTGGCTTTTCGGATTTTGCATTCGCAGCTGAAGGCATCCTTCACAGGCAACAACTTTTCCTGGATTGGGTATTGTGATGGTTGAATGAAGAGATAGAGATAGATTTTTTATCTATCTTTATAACCCAAGCAAACTGTCATCGAACGAACGACGCAAGCATTTTATTTCTATGTTGGTACAACATAACCAAAATTCAGGAGCTCGAATACACCAACTTTTAATCATTTTAGTAAGCCTAGGCCACTAAAAGTCGGTATCATAATATATTAGATATTAATTGTTATTATTCTTTAATATAGGCATCGAATCTTCATTGCTTATCACACAAATATAAATTTAGTTACTAAGCAAGTAATCACCAAGTCTGTTTTAACCATAGATATTGGTGAAAAGGTCTTCCATCCAGAGTCGTATAATCAATATAGAAAAAAAATATATTTCTTTTGTGAATTTAAAATTTTGTTTTTTTTCAAATGATTTATTATACTCAAATTTTTATTTTTTTCTCATAGTAAAATAAACTTGAAAATAATTTGCTGTTTTATTTTCACTTTTTAAATTTTGTTTTTATAATATTAGTGTTAATATTTCAAAATGTTTTGTAATACAAGAGTGAGTACGGTTTTGTAAATATAACCTAATTAATGTTTCTGGCCGGTTTGTGCGTTTTTAGCAAAAGCTTTGTATTTTTTATATTATAAGACGAATTTTGAAATGTACGTCGTGTCTTTCATACACATGAATATATGATTAACAAAATTTATCTTTTAGGTCATCGTGACAAATTCGATGCAATTAAACATTTTGTGTATTCTTTATCCAAAACACATGCAATAATTGTAAACCATAAGTTCGAAATATTCAAATTTGAAAAAACTAGGTGAATACGAATTATAAAACTCCGAAATTCATTGATCATCCAATTTGTATGTGTCTTATTAGGTAACTTTACTACTGAATTAAAGCAACCTGAAAACCGGAATTCAAACTTAACAATTCTACGTTTTATAGTGTACAATTTAACACTAATATGTATTAGTGATTATTCTAACATTAGGGAATGGGACACTGTAATTTTATATAATAGTATATGTGTGTCTGGCTATTACTTTTTCAAAATTAAACTGCTGCAAATCTTGATGAAGTTTTAATGTGAAGATAGGTTGTAACATGAGGACAGGCAGGTTGTCTGTAACAAAATTTTCAGGGACTTTAAATTTGTTGGAATTTTATGATCTCTCAAAAGACCTATCATTTATATTTTTTTGAATGGATATGATTAATTCTTATACAAAAACATTCACTGTGCAAATATTATGGACATTTGTTTGCCTATGTAGTGTTTTTAAGTACATGCTACAATGTAATATTTGATAGTAATAATTGTGTGTTCCTGTTACCTTAGACCATTTTGATAAACTTTATTGGTCATGTGGACTTGGTATGGGTTGGTGTGATTAATGCCAGTATTAGTCAAGTCATACTTATGTAATTTTAAAGAGATAGAGAGCCAATATGGACCTTTGTCTTAAACTGTTAATGACTGACACCTACAACTTCTAATTTAAACATTCAAAGCTAAGTATATAAAAATTTTTAATAATAAATTTCTACTTTTCTTTCTGGCCTTCTACTTTATAAAAGAAAATTGCATATGCTACTCTAGTAAGATTTTAAATAAAATACTTATATATAAGTAGATTAAATTTTGTTCACCTATTTTTTTTAAATGTTTATCCATTTTATCAACTCAAGTTGCTGTTTTGTTATATTAACTTCAATGAGTACACATTATTCAAATTCTTTCATACTAAATTAAATATTATTATATATGTAGAAAAGTAAATCATATACCTATCTACCTACCTATCATATATTTGTCAGAAATTTTACAAAAACGTACATATTTTATTATGTCTATTATTTATTTCAGATATCCTGTTTCACCTACCAATTGCTGAGATTACAAAGTAATAAACTACATACAACTGCACTAAAGCTTGATAGTCAAAAAACTGAAAAAAGTATGTACTGGCTAATGTGTTACTTATAACTTAATTTACATGATATTCATATGAGATAAGGATTCACCAATCTTTTTAACCATTAATAAAAATTGTTTTGTTGCAGCAATAAATCAAGTAACACTACTTGGTAGAGTTGGTGCTGATCCTCAAAAGCGAGGTTCCGAAGAGCATCCAGTTGTGAATTTTCCTCTTGCTACTCATTTTAGTTATAAATATGAGTCAGGAGATATATTACAACGAACTGATTGGCACAGAGTCAGCATTTTTAAACCGGGTCTCCGTGATACAGTATATAAATATCTAAAAAAAGGCCAAAGAGTATATGTTACTGGTAAACTGTCATATGGTGAAGTGAAACTTGATGATGGCCAAGTTCGAACAGCATCTACTGTTGTTGCTGATGATATTATATTTTTCCAAGGACAGCCATTAGAAAATTAATGAAATAGTTTTTTAAGAACTAGGCATCAGAAGTTTGGTATACAGAAGCTAAAGTAAATCAGATTTTTACAAACAAGTTGAAAGTTTAAGTGTAATAAGCATTCCCAATGTAATTAGTTAAATCTCTATATCTGAATCTCTCTGTAATCTTTATATCATAACTAATTAAATCTATTTTTACTTAGTTTCCAATAATATTTTTAATATAATAATTTTTTCCAATAATATACATTTGTGTAACAGCTAAACCATATTAATTATAGGATTTTGGGAGTACTTATGAAATTTATATACATTACACACAAGTTATATGTTTAGATGATTTAAAGCTTGTGATGTCAATTTCTCATGAATGTCGTTACTTATGTTAATTAGTGTGTAAGTACAATGTGATTTAATTTGCTTGTGATAAATAAAAGCAGATACCATTTTAACGAAGTTGGTGTTTTAATTCATTGTAATACTAAGGTACCTATATAGACGATATCCTTAAAATATAAAGGATTTGGGAATAATAATTTTTAGTTGTTTTCAAGTGGGTATAGTTTGTGTTTAAAATATGCAAATCCAGGTAAAAGATATTTGTATCAACAAAATTATTTTCACATTATACTAACTTGTTTTAACTAGCACGCTATTCAACAATAGATGGCGCCTTTTGTCTTTTTCTCATAGTAGTAGTAGTAGTTTCTCGTAGTGTTTGGATAGGCATTATAACTTTTTATACAATATAAGGCTATACAGATAACTTAATGTCGAATTGAATATTATTTTTTTATTTCTTTTTGTACTTGTTATACGGCCTGGTTATCGTGGAATAGAAATTAATATTATATTAATTGTACCTATTTATAAAACGTTCTTATGACACGATTATTGTCTTTATCTATCTGTAAGATCCTTGTCGGGTCTCTGGTGGGCACTATCAGTGTCACCGCTGAGGTATAAGTTGGTTATCCTACAGTATAAATGCTAAGTGGAAGTCGCAATCAGCGTTACGGTTTTAACTTTAAAACTAAATATAGTAGGTAGGTACTAAACATTTATCGTAAACTCTGCCTGTACTAATGCAACTCTGAATAAATATATGTATTATTAAATGATAAATATGATGTAGTCAATAAAAGTGTTAAGTATGTTTTGAGGTTAACCATTAAAAACACAATCTTCCTTTATATAACATTAGACTATTTGATCCTGGGACCACGGACCAAGTATCTGTTGTACGATACTTTATAAATTGTTTATGATCGATAAGACCCCATGCATGGAATCAAACACTTTGTTATAGATAGCTTTTTGGAATTCACCATTGAATACAGCATTCAAATCGGTTAAACCGTTTCTGATGGCAAAGTTGATATGTACAGACAGATAATAAAAAAGGATTTATTGTTATCAGTTTGTGAACAAAAATCAATCAAGTCACAGAAGTCAAACCGACTTCTGTGATATAAGGTACTACTTTGATTAATATTTTTTTTAAAGAGCAGACTTTAGGTATTGCTGTATTGTGTCTTTTACCTAATTTTATCAAGATGAAACTAGACTAAAAACATTTACCTTTCCAAAATAACTCTTTCAATAGACTATTTATAATTTTTATAATATAAAGATTGTCTTTACTGGTAAGTATTTGCTACACCTGCTGAAAAACCCGAAAAGAGGTAGATATGATATGCAGTAGATAAGACTGAAACTACAAATTTGCAATATATTGAGGAATTTCGAGGTCGTAAATATTTCATGGGTAGGAGTGAGCTCAGATAGGTAAAGGTGATACGTAAATAAGTTAGATAAGCTTATAACATCATTTTCATTTATTTTTAGTTATAATAAATCTGCCACAATATTTTTTGTGAACGTCATAAACATATTGTGTACATGTTGGAAGAATTGGCATGAAAGTATGCCAGATAGAAATGATTGTAAAAATACAAACTCAATTGTAATAGTACTTACATATACTAGGTACTCTGATAAAGCTCCTCTTTGTTTCACAAATCATACATACACTCTCTTTACAGTCTGTTCTTTTTATCCTAACTTATTTATATCTTAATCTAATATTTACAAAACTATATTTAACTCTCTATGACATTTACCTACATTGATAAAAGAGATCACAGAAAATTGTAGCTGGAAATCTTTGAGTTAAAGTCCTAGCATACTCTATATGTCTACCACTTTATTTTTTTTATCACAGTGGACATTTTTTATTTCAAGGCATTTTAGGTAATAAGATTATTTTTATTGTCTTTTAGATTATATTCTTGTATTTTATTCAAACAGTTGATTTTTTAAGAATTATAGCTGCCACAATAACGCATGAATTTTAAATTACGTGGTAGGTACATTAAAGATATTACTTTCTCTCTAGCTACAATTGAAATGGATAAAAACAATTGGAAGACGATAATCTGTTAATTTTCTATATAACGATGTTTTATAAATCTGTTGATTTGCGTGTATCCACTTTTTGAATATATTTTCTACTTTTGGATCTATACATATAGGTATAGTTATTTAAATTATAAAATGCATTAGTAAGCGCGCACACTTATGCACACGCAATTTCTTTCAATAAATCTATTTGAAACTGCGAGATCTCTGCAGTCCATTGCACAAATTTTAAAATAGTCTATATGATTTCAACACACATAAACTCTTATTCCTTTTGCTAACTATTAGGTAATTGACACTATTATATAAAATCACTTGGCACAAAGGCATTATTTTAGGTCCATACCCTGTTTAACTCCAAGACCATAATAAATCCGTCAAAGTACTCTCAGCGTTAGTTTCCATAATACAGCTATATCAATAAACATGTTATATTAGGAAGACTTATATAATTATTTCTGAGAGGAATTTGACTAGAATTTTAGTGGGTGGAGTTTTGTTCACACTATATAAACGTATCGCACTGTAAGCGTTCAGAACTTTCATTGTTAGTGATCATTGTTCACATTTTTCACTTTTAAGGTTCAGAGCGTAATGATCGCCATTATATTCAGGTTCACGTTTGAGCATCATATTATCACCAATGAGAACACTGATGCGGTGTTTGTCATGTTGTAATGGAACAGGAGCGGGATCTGATCGCGCTCGCTTTCGCCACGGCTCTGAAGCAGCCATGCTAAGATCAGTAGGCATGTCTTCATCTACTGCTTCTTCTTCGCAACGTTCTTCTTTCATTTCTGTTTTCACAACAGCTTGAGGTACTACTCTCGTGGGGCTCATTTGTTGTCGTAGAAGTGAGATGTTCTTAATATTCTTTAATTCTGTTGGATTCCTTAGAAATCTGTGGAAAAAGAAAAAAATATAAGTTATATTTCTATAAATAATGTTATGTGAAATTATTTAAAAGTTAAGGAAATAAATACATACTGGTAACAATGTCGTTCGCCTTGTACTTTACGTAGGATATTGACACGATAGTAATATCTTAAAGCTCGAGACATTTTATCGTAGTTCATTGATAGGTGATTTTTCTGAATTCCCCAGAGTTTGGCTAGTCCAGCAGGATCTACAATCTTGAATACACCAGTGTCTCTATTTTTCCACGCGATGTAATTTGTATACCGCTGAGTTGGATCATTTAGTAGCTGTTGTAGAAAATCCCATAATAATCGACCATCTGGAAAATAATAGCAGTGATTAATTTATTTGTTATTTTGCATACTCATATGTGCAATCGTTTTGTTTATTTTATAACGTCAAACTTACTTGTATTCGATTCGGGCATATCATTCGGGAAGAATTCTCTGTGTTGAGTACGATAATGCGAATGCTGTACTGGAAGATTTTGTGGTGCTGGACTCGCAAGAGGAGCATCTTTGGGAGATCTAGGCGGATGTCCGAATTGTGTTTCTTCATCTGAATCCGAATGATTGCTTCCAGAACTTGCTGCCTGTGCTTGTGCGGGTACCGATGGCGCATACGTCGGTCCATAGTTTACTGCCTCCCCACGTTGTGGACTTCCTGAACTATCTACTGATGGTGCCGGACTTAACGTTACTGAGTTTGGTTGGGCAGCGGCTACAGCAGCACTATGGAAATGATGGAAACCGTCGACAGTCCAAGTTGGTGTTGGTGGATGTGAGTGTGGTGATGGCGGATAAGGAGCAGCGCGTGCTGTTGGAGTTACAGGTGAAGACGGAACTCTTCCTAAAAGTGCTGCATCGCGCACCAACATTTGTAAAACATTGTGCAAAACATCACCGGCGCCTGGACAACGCTCTCCTAAGTCAGTTTTGGTCAACAAGCATAAAGCTTTACCTGTAAAAGATATTATTTATTTACTAACATATAATGACGAAAAATCAATGTGATGAATTTTTACTTTCGATTCGTCGATATTAGAAATCAGAATATAATATAACTTACCATTCATTTGGAATAAATCCATATCGAAATTTGGCAAGTCAAACTCTCTTTCGCACCACTTTAAGAAGACTGCTACATCTTCTCTGGTCCATAATCTTGGCTCTGGCGGAAGACCGGCTGGTAGTTGTGCCTTCGTATCACCAAGGGGAGATGGAGGTGGTGGGGCCCATGGCAATGGATACCGCCATAACAGGTCCGTCGGACTAAATGGCAGCGGTAATCGCTCCATACTTGTAGGCCCCGACGGCAGTTGAAGACTAACGACTTTCATCACGATTGTCTGAAATTAAGAAATAATTTTATATAGTCAAACTCAAATTTAAAAACATTTAATTAGGCAGATTTTGTTTTTTTACATAATATATCTCCACTGTTTATTAATTGTTCAGGTAGTTTCTTTACTTTATTAAGTAACTAACCTACTAAACGTTGGACAAGAACAATCGGCAAAAACTCAATTTATGACTGCAAAATTATTAAATTGTAGAACGGTTTTCATCGTTGAGTACTCTAAGAGCTGTCTTTAAAAGTTTTATATATTCCTTGATATAGGTGGCGGTTACAATAATTTCCGAGAATATATAATTTATTTGAACGAATGTGTGCTGTTAATCTCGTGTTTCGGTTTAATCAATTATATTGTACCAATTATTATACAGTATTGTACAAACATATTTAATTTTGTCTTCACAAGTCGATCATACTATTGAGTAGACATGTAATTTTAACAAGTCTTATTACTGCAACGTTAAAATTACGTTGCAAATTACGTTATGTAAGTAATCTGGAAAATATACTATTTTTAGCAGGTATTAGGTACGTTCAAGCAACACATTGTTCTAATGATGAAACAAAAATATTAGATACTATTTATTATTTATTTATTTATGGAATATATTTTCATAAGAGTAATTTACATTTTAATGTGTATAAATATAGATATTTTCGATTACTAATTAGTAGATGCTATTAAACTAAATTGCACTACATATGTAATAAAATACATGAACATAAATTCAAGCCGATAGTTTGAATTAGTATTTAATAAAAGTAATGTTAGGGAATTTAAAGTAATCTCATTGTTTTGTTAGGTATAAATAAGGTAAATGTATATAAAATATTTCTTTAGATGTTAATTCATTCCGTGTTGTTCTTTGATTTTTAAATGTGAACCTTGGATGACTTTTATATGTTTGATTAAAATTACATCCATAATATGTGATAAGGTGATCTCCTCAATCCTCACATTTGTTCTTAGTATTCAAGTTATCTACGTTCGATAACCCAGGTTTTATATCAGTGGGTTTTTTATGATATTAATATAATAAACAAGTTTCAAGATATAATATCAGGTTACTATTGTAATGTTTAACGTTTTATATTTGCACCTAACAGACGGGAGTTCCATCGATTTTTATATTATTATTTATTATCGGAACTCGAACGGATTTCAATGCTCATAGGGTCGGCAGTTCTACGCCCCCTCTTGTCGTCTTGACCTATGTTATAAAGTTAGGGTCGCCACCTGCTGATTTGGATTTTGGGGAGGATGAAATCGACTTTGTTACAAATGTGGGACATAAATATGAGTATATATAAGTAATTTATATTAATTATTTTTAAAAAAGTAAAAAGTATTCATATATTACATATTTTTTATATATTCTATCATTAAGCTAAAAATACATAAATAGGCAAATACCTAACACCTAACCTAACATCTACTGTCTAGTGAGATTATAATTAGTTATATTTTTCAATTATGCTTCCTGTATTCACAGGTTTTTGTAATTTTATTATTAGTTCTATTCAGTATAAGTCAAGTTTTATCCGGTTGTAATTACGTAGTCGAAGTTGATGCAATATTTAATTGTTTATAAATAATGTGTTTTTGTTATGATAGTCTATATATATATATCTACTTCTGTATGAAGTTTTCTTAATACAATCGCCTATAGACTTAATATAATGTATATTGAGTGCTGCCGGATTTGAGTACCATATCGTTAGGTACCACACAGTCGCCTTATCGGGCGCGGTCGGAAATGCGTGAGTCGCGATAGCGCGGTTTGCGATAAGCACCGCTACTTACCGGCTGAGCTGATCCGGAACTTGTTGCGACGTCAAAAATCCTATAAATACGGGAACTGGAGTTTTCAGCACATGTACATAGTCACAGCACTAGGAGCACAAAATCCAATGTTCACAGTAGCAGGCACACGCGTAGCAGCGGCGGTCCCTCCAAACGTGTCGTGTTACGGCACGCCGTAAACCAGCAGCGTATCTGAGGGATCTAGCTCGCAGACAAGCGTTGCGGGCAACTCTCCAACGCGAACTGATGATGCGGTGGCGGCGCGGGCGGACGGACGCGCGCCCGTCGCGCCGGCTCCTCCGCCCCTTCCCCTCGCAGTGCCTCACATATTGCCGAGATAAAACTTTGGACCAGACCAAGACGGCAAGACCCATTTTTAAAAATACGGTACGAGTATGTTTCCTCTAAACGTTACAGCGGTGTTGATGAAAATGTAGACTAGATATAGTTGCGGAATAGAGTTTTAATAATAAATACGTACCTTCATAGGCACAGCGAAAGGTAAGTAGGTACTGTTGTAGTACTTGAATGTGCTTGCCTAGGGCATGCGGAAGTGCTAGTTGTGAGATTACGTCAGCGCGCCAGTTTTTAATAACTCGCAATATTTCCTTGTTTGCAGAGTAATTGCGGGTGCGATATGACTTGTTTTTATTATTATATCCACTTAATAGATTTATTTCATGTATTATAATTTATGAATATTCTTTAGTTAATATTTTGAAATGTCCATAATACATGTATGACATAAAAATAACGAAAGCGTATTATTTAAACAGTTCTCTAGTTGGTTGGACAAATTAAGTATTTTCATTTAAAGATTTCCATGAAATCTTGGGAATATAGACACAAAACAGGAAAGGAAACGAGGAGAGGGACGATGCAGTTTCCTGGTGAACTGTAGAGTGAGACAATATGATCGCTAACCGGTTTGAGCTGAGCTCATTTGGTTGTGTCTTGTGTATAAGTGTGGACTATAACAGAATAGGTATACCTAATGAGAATCATGTATGATTTTATTACATTTACCTTTTGATATTACGTAGCTAACTTACTGCTCTATGTACTTATTATCTCTATTAGAAAACAATGAGTTTGGGTATTGACAAGTAACCAGTAAAAGAAGAACACTATTTTGTTTATTATTATACCTACTATATTTATTACAGATACTTAGATTAACTACTAAGTATCAATAATTCACTACCATCAATAAATTCAAGATACCTATATTATTTATTGCAATTTCCTAACTCATGGTACGATCATAGAATCGATGAATCATAAGCAGTGGATGCCTAACTATTATATCATATAGCCAATGTTTAGTTTTGTTTTACCTCCTGGAGCAGACGAAAGTCAGAAGCCAATGTTTTAGATGTGTTGGCGTATACGTGTAGGTTGAGATTATCTTGTGTGCCCTGGCCGTCGTCCCACTACCGGTTCGAGACAGAAATATTCGGCAGCCAAGACGGAAGTGGCCTCGGAATCTTTACCTGTTGCTCCCTTCGCCCGCCCCGCGCTCCCATGTCTCATTCCATCTCGTTTTCACGTTAGGTGGGCGCACATAGTTGGTACGGTGGCGACACGCAGGCGTTTGTCGTGGACTCGTGAAGTTATGTGCAGTAATTTGGAGAATAAAAGACTATGATGTTCGTCCATACGTGACCGTGACCGCAGAACTTGCTGCTACTTTCTTTATAGACACTTTGATGTTCTGCGTTTGGTGTAATTTAAATATTTTTCTGTTATTTCCGTATTTGTAATAGTAATAATAGAAGGCAATTTATTTTAATACCTACAAAGCGATGTTAATTAATATAGCAATTGTTTTGTTAAAAGCAAATATGAATAACGACCTGCTTAACATTGATATTTTGTCTTGACTAGGTGAGATATAGGTATGTATGTGTTAATTTTATATATATACATATTATGGATGTATTATTTATTAATTTTTGGATTTAGATGTGATGAGGTATTAGGAGCATATACTGCAAAGATCCCTATCCTATTGATTTCAAATAAGTAGGTACTTACCAGTGCAACGTGCAATTAGCAAGACGAGAAATGATCCACCAATGTTTGAACAAAATAGACGCAAGTAATATTTGTATCGGGAACGGAATAATATTCATATCATTCCAATAAAAATAAAATAAATATTAAGTACAAGGCCTAGGTACACAACATAGAGTAGGCACGATATAGATGACGAACATTTTAGCGCCAAAACAGTGTTGCAAGCTGATTTATAAAACTGACACTTCTTATCAGTTTTATAAATCAGCGTATAAGAATATCGCCAGTTACCGGTGTTTGATTACAGATTCAATTGTCTTAATGCATTTATCTATTCTACTCTAACTAGGTATTCGATTATTATTTAGAGGTGACGATTGTGACGATGGTGGCTCGGTTGGAATGCGACGAATAGCCGGACTCCAATCTGACTGAACACATGCGGAAGTGCTCGAAATAAGTTCATTGCGTGAGCACATACATACTTTTAACTCCCACGAGAACATTATGATTAGTTGGGCAGTTCGATATCCTTATTATAATTAGGTATTAATTTATTTATTGAAAGAGAAATTGGAAAATTTTACATGACCGTCTGATTAAAAACAAATCTATATGAGACTGTAGGAACGATATAAATGTACTTTAGGTTGTTTATGTTTAATAATCTTACATATTTCTGCTGTTTTGTAAGTCTTGTAAGTTCATTGCAATCTTTTCAGAAATTAATGTTTTATCTCTAATATGTATTTACCTACATAATTATCTAGGAAATATGGTATACTTATTGGTCTAATTTAGGTATAGAAAGTACGTACATGAACAAATAAAAGTTCAAATAGAGATTAAAACAATAATAAGATTAATATAAAACTTTATGATGGTTACCTAAATAAAAATTATATGGTAAGAATAAAAACAAGCTTTGGACATAATAGCTACCTATCAAAATGAGGTATTTATACGAAGTAGGTACCTAAATGTACTAATAAAGTGATTGATGAAACAAAGGATTTTATAATTTTATAAATTTTATTATTATTAAAGATTCTTTATAATTTTGGTTTGTTTTTTAGACATTTAATTTGGGTTAAATAAAATAGGGCACAGACACTAAACAACGTTGTGTCGTTGAGGTGGAATCGATAGACTGTACCTATATCTAAATGAAGTGAATTAATATCGTTAGATAGCATTTATCTAACGGATCCAATTCCCTTCGTTTCATCTGATAAATATATCTATTACGTTTACTTATTACTTACATGACACGTAACTACCTACAAACACTACAATTTATCAAATGAATTTTATTGCGAAATCTTTATAGGAAATTAAAGCCATGGCATAGTTTAAAGCGGAAATTAGTACACGCTCAAAGAGGAAATTAAGCAACAGAGGCTGGAGGTGCCGGACGGTGGTAGGGAATAGGGAGAGTTTGGCGAATTAGGGTTGACAAAATTATCTAAATAATAAAATTAATGTAGATAGTATTATTAGTATCTACATTAATTTTATTAACATCTACACTAATTTTATTCAGTTAACATTAGATAATCATGCATATTTTTGTTCTTAGTTTTGATAATTATATCTTTATTGTCTTACATTTCAAATGTCCGAGAAAACATATCGAGGCCAAATTAACAAATAGAAAAACAGAAGTCAGTCTCAAGATGAATAAACTAAATGCAGGTTGGTACGTAATTATGATAAAATAAATATATTTCGTTTGTTTTACCTATGTGTGTATGTAGCTATAGTTATTCTACTAGTCGGGTTTGAGACAAATTCTACAAATTATAGATCATAAAAACTTGCATACCTACTAAAAATATATTCACTAAAACAGTATATGTACTTCATTCACTCCACTACATTGTCATATATAGTAAAGAATGCCAAATAGTAATTACGTATCTACCATGCGTGGAACTCTATCTTTATGGATAAAAAATCGAAATTGAAAACTTCATTAATATACCTATTTGTTAAGTAGATACTTGTACTTGACAATTATAATTATTGATTGATTCATCACAAAATTACGTATTATGCGAGTAACAATGATTAACGACGAGAAAAGCGTTGCTAATATACCGGAAGCTATAGCGGATGCCAAGGCATTTAAAATTGCAATCGTATGGAAATTCCGGCACTTCCTGCGCACTGACCCGGATCAAGCGCATTTCTTATTTCCATCTGAGTCGTGATTGCCTTTGAATCAATAGATAGATAGATTAATAAATTATGTATTTGTATCCTCAACACAGTAAAAATATGTAACGACATTAAAAACAGGCGTGGGTACGCATCAAATGAAATGCAATGCGTGTATATTACTGATGATATGTGCTGCACTGCAAACAGGTCATAGCCCAGGGTGATTCTTGCCCAGCTGTTGCTCCCTGATACTGATGATGATGAATATTTTCGAAGGGTATTTCGAAGGAAAATTTATTTAACCTCTACCTGTATACATGTATTATATACATCTATTATGTCTGTATACATCTATTCGGTCAGATCTAACGATTTTAACTGGCTGTTTCTAGAAAACTTTAGTTGTGCTATAATAAGAGTACCATATAAAAAAACATACAGTAAAACTGAACAATTCCATCACAATAATAGGGCAAATATTTATTTATTGTCTTTGTTATTTTACCATAAAGTTGCAGATAAAGGGCATAACATGAGAGCAACTACCGATGTATCTATAAATAGTACTCATACAAAAAAAGCTTATATTGTAATCTCATAATCTCAGGACAATTCACACAGCGCCATCTAGACCCAAGTTAAGCTAGTTAATAGCTTGTGTTATGGGTACTAGACAACTGATACAAATACATAGATATTTTTTTTTTCGTAAATACATACATATTATACATAGAAAACACCCAGACCGACACAAACAATTATACTCATGAATACAAATGTTTGTGCCGTGCGAGGAATCGAACCCGCGACCATCGGACGTAAAGCGGTCTGCTAAACCACTAGACCACCGAGGTCGTCGACTGTATTATTGATTGTATACTGTTATTAATGTTTAATTAACTGAATCCATCATGACAATAGATTAAATTATACTGAATAACTGACCGAGTATAATTTTAAGTTTTATTATGATATTCTTGGTGACGTTTTATATGTAGCGATACCTATAACCACAATATTTTTTATTGTTGATAGTAATTTTAAGACTAAGTAATTTTATTGTATTAGTCA